GGGGCAGCGGGGGCGGCCGCGGGAGCGGCGCCGGTGGGGGCGGGGGCAGCCGAGCCGCTAGAGCCCGAGCCACCGGTGAAGAAGCCCAAGATGGTGTTGATCACCCACTTGATGCCGTTGAAAAGAGCGTCTCTGATCGACTGGTTGTTCCAGATGGCGCTGACGACCTGTTGGATGATCCCCGAGTCCCAGATGGTTTTGATCAAGCCGGGGAGGGCCAGGAGGATCAGCTGGATGATGCTGCTCCAGTCGACGTCACGTCTGGCGAGGAACTCGCCCAAGGGAGTGTTCTTGACGGCTCTCTTGAGAATTTCCTCAATGTCAGCAGGGGTGGCGTCGACGACGTCACGCTTTTGTTGGGCAGCCAACAGCAGCAAGAACCCTTGAAGGTCCTGGGCAATGTCCTGAGCTTCCCGCTTGTACACGTCTTGCGTGGAGGTGGGGGTCTGAGCTTGCGCTTGAGCCTGCGCGGCTAAGAGGGCAGCCAAGGTAACGGTCGAGTACTTCATGTTGGTTTGATGACGAAACCAAGAAGGAATTACGGGTGGTTTAAATACTGTGTTCGTGCTCACTGGTAGAGCCCTATATTGTGGCTTATACTCAGTTTCCCTTAGCAGTAACTTCAAGACATTACCGGATACGGTATATGGGATCATATGCAGGTACCACCGACGTCTCGCTAGCCTCCTCGATAGGGCAAGATCTGCGGCAAACGCTCTCAATGTACCTGAATTCCCATCGCTGAGAATCTAGAAGCTGTAAGTGGCCCCTTCCTACGGCTATTCTCACCGATGCTACCGTGGACCCTTAGAGGTCTCATTTGTTAAATTTCGGTGCCACCGCCGTATCAAGGTGCACCCCATCTAATTTTGGAGAGAAGGTTCATCGATAGCGTACCAGTCCACCGACAAAACATGTGACTTCAACTTGCCTTGCCATAGTAAGGCTGAGTCGGGTTCCAGTGGCTCGGCTGTTGGGGAAGCTAGCTTAGGTTCCGCCCTTTGAAAAGGTTACTGTTTATGGTTAAGTATGGGCTACGTCCTTCACACTGCCGGGCAACCGACGGAGGTGGCTCAAATTGCTTATGGATAAATTCTGTCTGCATATGTCGGGGAATAACACTCGCGTGTGCGAGGTGTGCTTGTTTTTGGGTTGCGAGTTTCTACCCCAACGAGGGGCGGGGCAAGTAAGCTAAACGTTTTAGTAATTTGAAAAGTTGTATCCTTTTGAGAGTACAAATCAATTAAACTTTGTGTTTAATCACCTATTTTGGTGATACCACTACAAGGAGTGCGTTATTGTTCGCTAAGCATTGTCGACCCCGGACACAGCTCGCCTCGAGCACCGAAGCAGGTCTAAAACGTGAAAAGCAATTCAGACAATTCCTCACTCCCGTGAATTACGGGGGTAATCATAATTATGCGTCATCAAATTTCAGAGCGTGGTTTAAAGGAGGGGAAACCTCGAAGGGGGTCTCACCAATGAAGGTCTACGCGAAACTTAGAATTCGAGGCAAAATAGCCCCAGTATGGTCGTCATCAGAACGTTGGACCTTTACGAGGTTACCCTAATAGGAACAGTGATGGAAATTTGGCTGGAACTCGATGCAAGTGGTGCCTTGTCAGATCACAATTATTAGATTTTCTCCAGGGTGTTATTTTTCGAGATTGTCAGAGAGATTCCCAATTGAATTATTCATCATATCAAGGCACACTTGTGTTCCAACCCTCTCGCATCAATCAGTGATAGATACGTTAGGCACTGGAGCCAAAGGGCCTCCCTTGTACTGCCATTGCCTGAGGGTATGCTGAGCGCCACGAAAAAAAAATTTGCTCTTTATAAGATGAACGTTTGTATATATGCAGGAGGCAGGCACGTCAATTAGGGCTAGGAGCTGAAAACGAATGAACTTTGGAGGTGTAAACGATGAGCCCCGCACCGTTTAATTTAGCAAATTTCTACTTTAAGCAGTAAAACGAGAGTTTGAAGATTCGAGGATAATGAATTTCGGTCAAATTGAAAGAATATTTGTGAATTTCAAACTATTAACATTATGAAGCCAGTTAATTGGATTCAGGAATTTAAACTTGAACATTGTAGAAATCCAAGCAACAGCAATAAAATGTACGAGGCGGTTGAGACGAAGACACTGCTTGTTTGCCGTATTGCAGACGATGAGCACTCATTTCTTCGAGTCACTTCGCCATTTTCATACAAGATGTCTGAGTTCGAATACTGCTGGTCCCATTAGGTCATAATTTATCAATCGCGCATAAGTACACCGAGATGTATGCCACAAAACACACGCGAAGTCCCACTGTAAATCGACAATCACCAAGTATATCGCCATTTGCGTTGGAGGTGATATCATTAATGTCTAATTATCGTCATCAAGGGGCCTGCCCAGAGGAATTCGTTGTCTAATCGATTTGGATGGAGTCTTAGAGAACGTGCTTTCATCATCGACCACCAGGGCCGTCAACAACAGTTCTTCCTCACTCAAATCAATTTCAGGCACGTAACTGAGTTTTGAAGCACTGTTTACGTCGCTAGCGTCGTCGGGATTCATCACCCGCAAGACCAGTCTTCGCTTCGAACTCACTAATACTTGCGCATCCACATAATCGTCGGATTGAAGCAGCTCCTTGCTAGGTCCTGTGAGTTGCTTACGATTAAGCACATCGGGTTTGCTTTCAACAAACAGGAACAGTTTGCGTAGAGGGCGTGGGGGTTTATGGATAATCGCGGGGCTCGGTTTGGTTAGCAGTTCAGCTTCATCATCCGAAGCTCCCAAAGTGTCATTGCTCGCCAAATACAGATTTCGGAGTTTACCGTTCTGGTTTTGGCCCTGTTGAAGTGCCTCGTACTGCTGACGCTTACGCATCCACAGAGAGAACAGAGCATCATCGTTGCCTTCACCAAGTGTCAGTTGCGTAAGATGGCGCTCGAGAATAAAAGGATTTTCAGGTTTATCATAGTAATCGAAGTCGTAGCTGTCAACATCATTTTCCAACTTTTGAGAGTCCTTGTGTTTGCGATGATGGCGATAAATCACCATGCCCGCAATACCCATCAACAGAAGAGCCGCAATGGGAACCACAGTGCCCAAGATGGCCTTGGTTTGGGTCAGCACCTTCTTCTGGGCCTTAGAAGCGTCATCGACTTTGTCGTGAAAGTTGTCCTTCACACTAGACACCAGTTTTAAACTAACGGCATCGTAGAGATGAAGCTTGTACCCCAGCGCGGTATCATTTACCGTTACAAGGGTATTGAAAATTGTAGCAGCTCCGACAAACTCCAGAATGTCCTCTTCATAAGTGTTCCATTGCCATAAATTTTGATCAAGTTGAAGGCGAGCGACCGAAGGTTTAGCTGGGCGATTGGCAATGTCACCACCTAACAATACTACTTGCAGAATCTGTAAATCAGTCAGAACATTGCGAGGGTCCACTTTGCCAAAAACCGGAAGAGCAAGAGCCCCTCGTCTCAGCTCGATTGTAGAATTCAGCAGTTCAACCTGGCGGAACAGCCAACCAGCCAGGAAATCCCAGGTAGCAATCTGGTACATGTTGAGCCACCCCTGAGTCAGCTCACCACCAATGACAAGATTTGTTTGTGGATTGGGTGCCAACACTTGGGCGGCACCCAGAAATGGTTGGGGCTGGGTGGCAGTCGATATATTGCTGAACTTAAGATCCTGGAAGTCTAGCGAGAGCAAGCGGTCCAGCACACCGCTATTGGGCATGTCACCTCCATAAATATAGGTTGTTTGGTTATCGGATGGTACCGTAAGCACAGAGCAATTTGCAAAGTACCGAGTGTCGGAGATGTGGGAGGCATCGATATCCTTGATTACACTCCACTCATCGTTGTTGTCGTCGTAGCGAGCCACCGCCAACATCCCGTTCGTATCACCATAAAGCGTGTGGAGAGCGTCACCCAAGACAAAGTAGGTTCCGTTAGCTGGTGCTTGGGCGATTGGTTTGATGGCATCGCCGGTGTTGTAACTGGAATCTTTCTCAAACTTGCCCAGGACGTCGAAATCAAGCTTGACAACTTCGTGAGACGTAAGCTCAAGGTACGCTTTCCCCGCGTTATAGGAATAAAGTGTCAGCCAGGCCGTCGCCACAGCCAATAGCCAAGGTAGTCTCATCGGTGGGTGTTGACAGGTTCCAAAGTTTGGCAGATATTAATTTTAAATGGCGGACCCGGCGATGTTTACACTTAGGCCCAATCGGGACGATGCTGGCTCAGGCATCACAATCCCGCAATGAAATCGACAAGCTGCAACAATGGTGATAAGGCTGATGATGAAAGAGCAATTATAAATGTAAGATCTGATTGTGGACAGCTCTGGGTCCAGTAAATAAAGTTTAGTAAATGGGCTAGTCCTCGAGTTGCAGTCTAAGAATATAGTGGGGAACGCGCACAATCTGATCGACATCGCTGCCTGCATGATAGCCATCGTCAGTGGTGCGGAGGTTAATCTGGCCACTGGATAAGGACGAAGATGGCAACGGCCCAACAAGTTGAGACTTCGAAGGTTTTGAGATGTCCTTTCGCCGAGTGCAATACGCGGGTCATACTGTTGACCCCTGAGCTCAAAAGTTCGCTCGCCACTATTGAAGGGGCCCCTGAAATGCTCGCTTCCTCTACCGACGCAAACGAGATTGCTCACGAGTTCTATGTTATCAATGACGTCTGGGAGTTTGACAACATCGGGGTGTCTAAACCGACCGAAGAAACGCCTACCTCTACCATCCCCGATTTCACTATCCAAAGGCTCTTGGTGTGTAGCGAATGTGACCGGGGACCTCTCGGGTTCGCCGGATATACCGGTTCCGACGATGATGTGAAGAAGCTTCGGTATTATCTTAGCTTCACCAGTGTGAAGGAAACTTGAACCTAATATTTGGGTTATCATTCGTGTTGGTGAGTGATATGGGCAATATCTCGGGGAAAGGAATAGATGGGAGATCATGAGGGTTTGATTTGGTTAAACGGAATAGATGTTTAGAATAGAGGCATAAATTTATGGTCAAGGACTTATATTGTCACATATACGCAACTTTCAATTTATCATGATAGACAATTTGTCTCATCACTACGAGGATTCATTTCACATATTATCAACGTTATTATACCATACTCCATACTTCTAAAACTACCAGAGTACCCCTCCCACTCAAAGTCTAACTTGTGGTGCCAACTCCTTCACCAATTCCAACGCATTGTGTCTTGCTACTGCCATAGTCAGCACCATGGGATTAACTCCCAGCGCGGTAGGCAACGCCAGCGCATCACACACCCAAACGTTTCTGCACTCCCACAATCTACCCTTAGGATCGGCCGCACCCAACCGCGGGCTTGAACCCATGCGACACAGCAGCATTTGATGTGCCAGCAAAAAGGGCGTGCTGTAGGGTTTGATTTGACGCTTAGCAATATCGGCTCTCCAATCCAAGTACTCCTTGTCGTGAATGGTGCGTTCCTCTTTGTGCTTTGAGGAGCGAAACATTGGGAAATCCACTTGCGGAGGAATGATTTCAATCGCTCCTTCGATGTATAACAAGTCACTTGCAATAAGTACTGCCTCCAAAAGGGCCTTACGGTCGTATTTGTTCACATCATAATTGATCACCAACGCCAGCGGTTTTTGCTTGTCATAGGTGATCTTACCGCTGCTAGTGTCCCTGTCAATGAGCACCATTCCCGCCAATTGTGGATAGCGCAACATGTTGATTCGAGCCTGCTCAGCCAGCTTCCATGGTAATGTTGCCACTTGGGTGAAAGGAGTGTGCAAGATTGTCTCGATCTTAGCACCATGAGCCTTGCCGTCAAGGTCGTCAACTTCCAGGCACACTGTAGTTAAAATTGGTTTTTCGAACGGCTTGGTACGATTGTCAGGCCCAAAATCACCCCATACGGTAGTTGCAGGGTGAAGCTTCAAGTTGGCTCCGATATTGCCATTGGTAAAGCCCAGCTTTTGAAGTACCACTGGAGTGTTTAAAGTACCACCAGCGACAACAATGTGGCGAGGACCAGTAATGGTGAATTCCGTGCCAGTAACTAGGTCACGGCATACAACACCAGTAGCCTTGCCCCGCTCATGCAAAATACGTTCAACGACAGTTTCCACCATAAATTTAGTTCCTTTCTCGGCAGGTTCACGGAACCAAACTTGAGCCAGCCCAGCTTTGATGCCAAAGCTGCACCCCATGTGACAGTTACCACAGTTGTGCGAAGGGTGGCCACCGTTGTTTTGAGGCACTGCCTTGCATTTGTAATCCAAGCGTTTAGAAGCATTCAAGATCACTTGATTGGCAAATGAGTGATCTATGCCTTCAGTTGTGACGCCCATTTGCTCGCAAACATAACTCAAACATTCGTCAAAGGTGTCCTGAGCCGCCCAGTCAAGTCCAAATTCATCGTACCATTCCTTCCTGACCTTGAAAGGGGTTTTGAGCAGGGCCAGCCAGTTAACTGTAGACCCACCACCGAAACACAGACCAGCAGTAACATAGATGTGTTGCAGTTCCAGTGCGACTGAACCTCCTGACTCGTAAAGGTCTTTTGTGGCGTCAGCCTCAGTCTTAGGGAATTCCAGGGGATGGAAGTATTTCCCTTTCTCGATCACTAACAGCTTGTAGCCATTCTCACTAAGGGTTTTAGCCACTACGCCTGCGCCCAGGCCCAGACCTATGATGATCGCGTCAAGACCAGGAATGTAGAGCTTGTGCCCCAGTGCGTGAGGCTTTTCCATGAACGTGTAACGGAAAGTATCAACGGTATTTCCTTCGTACGCAGCCGTTCGAGTTTCACCCAGATAGCCCATAGCTTTGTGCAAGTCATCTCCAGCAAGCTTGGCAAACGTGCTCATGGAAAGAGAGTGAATTGACCGCCACAACTTCCGCTTTGCCGGAATGGGAGAGTCTCTCAACGACTTCAAGAGATTCTCACGTTCAGTGGGAGTCATGTCGCGAGCCAATTGCAAGGTATTGGTGAGTAATGGAGCCAATATTCTTGAATCCAACACCGCAAACACGCGGTTGAAATTCTTGATCAGCTCCGTATTGGTGCGGTTTACAGTAGCTCGAATTTGGTCACTGAATCCAGGAATATCCAGAGGGCGCCGTTGTTGACTCAAAAAGCTGTCCAACCTTTCACTGGGGAAATCTGGGGCCACGTACGGCGCGAGGCTACTGGGATTCACCTCGTGGACAATGCCATCGGCAAAGAACATAAAAACCTCCAAGGGAGCATCGCCAACTTCAAGATCACTCATTGTGTGATAATTGCACTCAATCAGCCTTGCTGTAGCGATTTACTTACTTTTCCTTATATATAGGGTCACCCCGCAAATTATCGCCGCTGATGCACGTGCACTTTACGGCACATGCATCTCCAGCAAGCGCCGGACTCGGCACAAGATCAGGGGCGTATTGTGGGGTTGAGGGAGGGGTTTCGGAATGACAAGTTTGACCGGCCGAAGTCTAGTCTTTTTGAGATCTAAGGTACTGGTTGTCTCAGTGGAGGGACAATAGGACTGTGCACGATTATTTACGAAACAATGTGACAGTCACGGCTGAGATAGCACGTCCCTAGTACCCAAGTGCCAATTGTCATAAGAATGCCCTGGATATGACCGATACATGTTGAACAGTACGCGTCATGGATTTGCCTGCTTCTGTTCTCAAAACGTGTCGACATGTTCATTAGTTCTACCATCTGCGCGGCACACAAAAACAGGAGGTTATTGTTGTCCTGCTGTCAAATTACACTCGACAATGAAGCTGCCCTGATAGACAATCACCTCGGATATTATTACTGCCGCGATCAACGTCAACTCAACATCTAAATATATAACATTGGTTGTACGTATGATTGTCCATGACGGATTGCTTGAAATCTGGATAACATGGGTTACACTACATGCATGTGGATACTACTGTCTTGTTTCTATCATGTGTCTCATTTGAATGTAAACCATAATTCTCGTGGCTATGCTAATTGATGCAATGCAAATTATTCTCTCCTAAGTTTCCGGTACTAACAAGAGCACAACTTCATACTCGGGCATGCGCTGGCTTTCCACCTTCATAAGGAGTAATTCGTTTTCTAACTGGCAGAGGTCGCGGCAGGGGGGTCTTGTAACCAAAATATTCTTCATTGTTGATCTTTAATGGCAGACGATCATTAAGTTTTTGGGGACCTCTGGGGCGTGACAGCTGAGGGGTTTTCGAGCCCATTTGAATTGGGGGCGTGTGTAGTGCTGGAGATTCTTGTTTGTGCAACAGTTCCCTAAGTCGAGCATTTACCTCCTTCTCTACCACCATTCGAAATTCTCGTTGATAGTTGAGGCGAAGTTCCTTATTTTCCAGATCGAGTTGGCGGCGTTTCATGTCGACTTCCTCTTCCAAAAGCTTTAAGCGTTGGGCAAATTTGCGATGGACAGCTGCCATCTGGTCATCGAAATCTTGGCGTTGATCGTTGTAACGCTTTACAATATCCTGATATTTTCCCTCAACTTTGGTGACAAGAGCGTCCTTGCATATTAAGTCTTGCTCCATCAGACTAAGCTGCTTTTGGAGGTCGTTGTAAGGCCCACGCGATTCAACGAGAAGTTGCTCCCGTTGGCGTAGTTGCTGCTCTCGCTGGCGCATTTGCTGCTCTTGTTGATGAATATGCTGTTCCCGTTGAAGGACCTGTTGCTCCCGTTTATGCAAATCATCATCCCTGATAGAAAGCTGCTTTTGGTAGTCCAGTTGAGTTTTCTGCCAGAGCTTGAGATCGATTTCCTTGCGTAGAAACTGCACGGAAAGATTGTTGAGGAGATCATGAACCAGGGGTCTCTCGGATGGGTCAACGGTAATGCAATCGCGGATGATTTGACGAAGATGAACCAGATAGTGAGCAGGGTTGATTTCTGGTATCTTACCCGCTTTGATCTTGTTTTGTAGCTGTAAATGGCTCAGAGCAAGAAACGGTGGTTGAAGAGTACACAACTCAAAGAGAACACATCCAAGCAGCCATACGTCACACACTGGCAGATACGGGTTATCCATGAGCACCTCTGGACTCATATAGTATGGAGTACCAACATATGTTTGGGCGAACTCTTGCTTCGTAGTGTTGATCATTTTTGCGAGACCAAAATCACCTAGTTTCACCTGCTTATTCAGGTCTACTAGAAAGATGTTATCTGGCTTGATGTCGCGATGAATGATGACTGTTTCCAGGTTAATGCTGGGAGCACGTCTCGTCTCTGCGGTGAAAAGATCGACTTTGGGAGCATCGTGACCATAATGGCAGCGATGTAGAGCCAGCAACATTTGCACCATAACTTGCCACACAAACTGCTCGGGAACCCGTTCCTTTTCCTGACGGAACTTTTTGATAAGTCCAGCTAAATCACCACCGTCACAATATTCCATATATATATGGATCGCTTTGAGAGGAGCATCATGGTCGTGTCTCCAGTACTTTACGATATGTTCATGATCAAGTTCTCTCAATATTCGAAGCTCACTGATGATCTGGTTACGTTCCTGATTATTCATCAGAACATACTCGATCTCCTTTCGAACCAAGATTTGACCAGATTCCTTATGACGAACTTTGCGGACAGTACCGAAAGAGCCCCTGCCGATGACCTCCAATGGATCGTAGTCGTCAGACATGGGACGGGGTCAAATGATGGCACTGGAACGAACGGTATCTGTGGGGGGGACAAAAGGACACGGCGTGGGGCAAGCAAGTGGATAGGGCGGTAAATCTCCAGCGCTGGCTTGGGAGAGTCTGCGCTCACAACCTGCAGAACTGGGCGCGTGTTGTGAATTTGCGAGGATTAGGAAGCTTACCAACGCGCAGGTCGCTTTCGTGCAGCCTGAGGAACAGCCAACAAGGCTCATAACTATAGCGTACACTCTGATCTGTCAACCACAACATCCACATATCCAAAAAACAATTATGGCTTCTTTCCACGCGAAAATGTAGTAGAAATTTATACGTTTCTAGTTGGTGACATGAGGGAATACAGTAGATTTTTTGGAGGGGACATAAACGCCCTTGCCACTTTTGCGTGTGTGCTATACCGATGAGGTTAAATTCTCAGACCCTCACAATCACTATTGTTTGGTAACCACCTACTGACCCCCTCACGTTGGGTGCTGACCGAGACGTGGGGGCGATGTGACACGGAAAGCAAACGTCGATACGGAAAGCAACACGCTTTGCGATCTTCCTAAATCACGCTAGTATAAAAAAGCCCCTTACTCCTTTGTTTACCGGTGACGTTTATCTCTCCTCATACGACGGTCCTGCACATAGTGCTGAGACGAAAAAAACTGGCCAAAACAAACACCTGGGCTCCCTCAAGAGCGCACAACTCTCCCCACAATCGGCGTCTATTCCCCCTGAAGATGACTACCCTCGAAACCGTACGGGTGGAGCTAGCGCCTCCTGGAGCCTCGCTGGCTGCGATGCCACGGGCGGTGTCGCCGCCTCCGCATGTGTCTCTGGCGCCCTTGGCAGCGGCGAACCCTGACGTACCCCCTAAACGGGCCCATCGTGAAGTGAGATTCGGTCTGTACATCCTTGGGTCCAATTTGGGCGAAGGCGAATTCGGAAAAGTGAAGCTTGGCTGGCGAAAGGACGGCAAGTTGCCGTCACAGGTGGCAATCAAACTCATCAAACGCGAGCTGCTTGCGAAAGATCTGGAACTGGAAGTCAAAATACACCGAGAAATCAATTCCTTGAAGATGTTACTGCACCCGAACATTGTCAAATTGGTCGAAGTGATGAAACTGGGCAAGTATATCGGCATTGTGCTCGAGTATTGCCTGGGCGGTGAGTTGTTCGAATACATTTTGCAACATAAATACTTAAAAGAGAGTGTGGCGAAAAAATTGTTTGCTCAATTGGTTCTGGGGGTCGACTACATGCACAGCAAGGGACTTGTACACCGAGACCTCAAATTGGAGAACCTCTTGCTCGACAAGCATAAAAACGTGATCATTCTGGATTTTGGTTTTGTCAATTCATACCGTGATCACGATTTGATGAAAACTCTGTGTGGACTGCCGTGCTATGCCGCACCTGAGCTTGTACTCTCTCAACAACGCTATCATGGTCGCAAGGTTGACATTTGGTCGTTGGGTGTTATTTTGTACGCGATGTTAGCTGGCTACTTGCCCTTTGATGATGATCCTGAGAATGAAGACGGCCTGGACATTGTGCGCCTTTACCAATACATCTGCAAAACGCCACTTACATTTCCAGAATACGTGCTGCCATTGGCGCGAGACTTGTTGCGCAAAATTATTGTTCCCGACCCCAAACGCCGAGTCGATATGGATCAGATCCGTACCCACCCTTGGTTACAACACCATGCCAACTTACTTCAGATTCGTCAACCCGAATGGGACCGAATGGCGCGTGAGCGGGCGCCGGTGCAGCCGGCGCCTCGCAGTGCGGCGTCGAAGCGTTACTCGATGATTCAAGAGTCTACCACCTCGAACCTTTTGAGCGCCACCCCCAAGGCAGCGCTGAGCACGTCACTGAGCTTTGCTCTGGCAGTAGCACTCCCACGCCCGGTGCGACAGGGACATGCGCGTCTGACAAGTCATCAAATCGATCCGCTAGTAGTGGCAACTACCGCTGCTTCATCAAACCCCATTGCCAATGGCACTACCAACAACACCAATGTTGCTCCTGGTACATCTTCAGTGGACCCACTGCCTCCTTCCACGATTTCGTCTTATGGCCTGGTGACGCCATCGCGACCCACCTCATCGATCGGCGGTGTTGGGGTCAACTCAGCATCCGAACTCGGTAGTAATGAGTCCACTTTCATTACTCCTAATGCCGTCTCGATGACTGGTGCCACTCGCATTACACCCAGTGAGGTCGTTGCTAATGGAGGAACACTTGTGGCACCGACTCCCAGAACTGCTATTGCTTCTAGACAGCAAGGCGCATTTTCACAAGCCAGTACGACGCGTTTGCCCCACCAAAAGCCCCGCCCAACGCTGTATCACCCAACGCTTACACCATCGTTACTTACTGATTTATACAGAGCGCCACTCTCGACCTCGCCAACGAAGGCACCGCCACTTTCTCAAACAACCGACGAAAATGCTCTGCCTGAGCGATCCCCCAAAACTAAGCGTGACTCGGCTTTATTTTACTTGGAGGATAAAATGGAACAGCTTGATCTTCGCGATGCGGTGGCAGAGAAGCCGCCTCCGGTACCCCAGAAAGATAACGCTCAATACGTTTCGCGGAATTCGCCTCAAACTGCTTCGAAAAGTACCATCGATAAAGGGAAAACGATCACTTCCGGTACCACGGCCACCTCAGCGCCGCCTCCAGTGCCTCCTAAGGAACAACGCAGAGTGCTGCAATACGGTACTGGTGGTTATCAAAACAGCAGCGTCACTAACCTGCTCGTACCGGAAGTTTCCACACGTCCCGTACTGATGATAGTACCGCCGACACTGCAAACGATACCCAAACGCAGCCAGCTGACTCACGACAGTGGTCGCCGCGTGCTTCTGGGCGGAGATGACGACAAGGAGAACAAAAGAAAGAACAGGTTTCTGATCCTTTCGTTTTATCTGGGGTACAACTCGCTGACACAGCTGGTGCTGGCGCTTGTGCGAGAAAAGGAGCGCAACCTCGCAAAGGAAAAGGCTAACGAATCAACCAAACCATCTCATGGTAAAGACCAAGTTAAAGATACTTCGTTACCCAAACGCCCATTGGAGCCACTGAAGGAGCACAATATCACAGGCACCGCGACTAAGCGTAATGTGCTGACGCTGCTGACTGGGAGCAAGTGCCTGACCACTTCCACGGCGCTGAGCGTGCAGGGGAAGGAGGCGCTGGCCGCCCGCAAGGTTATGGACTTTTTCAAGCGGCGAAGCGTTCGCCTCGGTAGTTAGTATTCTTAATGGGAGTACTAGCTCGGATTATCGCATATTGGATTTGTTGTTGGAACTGCACTATTTTTTTTTTCGGCTTTGTTTATACAGTTATGAGCTAGCCCTCCATTTAATGTTTAGACTTGACAGGTAATTTCAGTATCAGGCAGCGGTGGTGTGGTAGTCTTCGCTACATTGTGGAGCCGAGAACTATGAGATCAAAACACCCAAAGCGTCCATGATAGTTTTCAATAAACCACAGCCATGTGCTTCGAAAACCTTAATTATATAATGCATATTCAACAAATGACCGCTAGAAGATTCAGTGGGGGAAGTTTGTGGAATCTAGCCGCGTACGTTATGAGCATCTGCCCTAGTCCACCTCGCGGCGATCTTTGCCACTGACTTGCACCTAATTTTATACCTTATGGACTCGCTCGTTTTACTTCGGGCAAGTCTTATTGGTAATGACGATCTCAAACGGGAGGTGTTAGGGGATGAGGAAACTGTCTCTGACGTTGTGTCCCACTTTACGCTGGCCCTTCACGCAATGGTGATGGACCTCAGTGCTCCTGAGGCTCTAGAGGTCCCCAAGCTCGTGGTAATCGTCAAATTGCTTTTGAATCTGCCTCAGCCGATACCTTGGAAGGTGCTTGATAAGCTCCAGCTGGTTGTTCAACCATTAGTGGCTTTACTTGCTGCGTATCCGAAACTCAAGCGAAAGACGCCCCTCGACATCGATTTGGATATCGTCATCAATTACAGTGTTGATATATGCGTTAATTTAGCAAAAGAGGCAAGCATTAATGCTGATTGGCGAGGTCTAGCCCTGTTTGTTACGCTGGTCGTGACAGACGTTGACGCTAGTGCCGAAGTGGTTACACGTGCATTAACGCTAGTGCCACTCATTGTCACCGAGGCCGAACCCAATTCAGTTGAGCTTCAAACACTTCTGGATCAGCTAGTCTTGGGTCTCAGTCAATGGGCTTCTCCAATAGATGATCCGACAGAGAATGTATACGCGCAACCATTCTCGAAGGATAAATTACTGACCCAGTTGCTCGGAGCATATTGCTTAGCTTTGACGCAACTTGGGAGACTGGGGCTGGCTGAACTAGGAGCGATTCTGAAGCCTATATACGGCCTTTTGTTCAGGGCCCTGCGACTAGATGCAACAATGGCATTAGCAGCGATTAATGTGCTTGCACTCACTCTGTCGAGGCCAAATTTTCCCTTTACACTGCTACAATTGTTTCCCACTTTGATTGACCTTATGGTTCTGCCACCTCCTCTGCTACCGTTGTTTGTTTTATCCCCAATTAGAATTTTGGCTGACTTGTGTAAGCAGAATAACGATCTCAGTTTGCATCTAAAGCAAACAAATCTCGATCTTCAATTGGTAGAGATGTTTGCCCAAAGAGTCGAAGGCGACAAGCTATTAACTGCTCTTCTTCTGCTCAAACAGAAAACGCCAGGCAATGCATTCGCGAGAATTCCAGCGACGATGATCAAGTCTTATCAATTTGATCCTATTGTTGCTGATTTCTTGTTATTGTTACTGGTGCACTGCGCGACAAACGAGGATAACCGTACAAGAATCACGCAGGCACCCGAGCAAATTGGCTTCCATCGAACTCTTTTTCAAATTTTAGACTTACATTTGTGGCTCATGCTCCAGACCCATTTACTTTTCAAATTAGTTCGTCGAGGTTGCACAGATTTGGGTGTGCTGGGGGGTATTGTTGTGGGATTAACTGATAACCCTCTATTTACAAACTGCCTCTACCTTGTACGGCTGCTACTGCGGCTGATTACGCCATTGCGGACGTTTTTTGTTGAACTTAATCTGTTTCAGCTGTTTTTTCTGGCCAATTATCACCCAGAGACAGCGGAACCTCGAGCTGACGGCTTCGTTGTTACTCTTCTTGAGACGCTCAGGCTTTATGAGAGTCATGTTACCATATTAACATCACTCAAACATCCAGTTAATACAGCAATGGTGAATCAGAGTCTCGTGCTTGCCGTGATTGCCAATCTTAGTACAGAATTTCTGCTGTTCAAGATGGCAATTTCTCATTATGATTCATTCTTGACCCTGCTACTGATGGTATTTCGCGAAGCCCGGCGTAGCGCATCATCTGACTCTAAAAATGCCTACGCACACGCTTTCATCGAGTTGAATGTCTTGCATGTGCTCCGAAACATTCTTCACGTGGATACAGACGAAAATAAGCGTGAGGTTTGGCAATTTTTTGAGCTAACAGATATACTCAACAAAACTGTGTATGGTCAATATCCTCTGGAGGTTGTTGACGATCCGGAGCTCCACCACATTTACATCAAACAGAAATTAGTTTCATTTCAAGTATTACGCAATGCGACTGCCTGGCTGCTGATTTATCCAGAAATTGTTGATGCATGGGCACTGTGCTATGATCTGTGGCCTCGCTCGAAGCGGCAACACATTAGTCAAACATGGGATGGATACCTTGTTTCAACGTTGGAGAATTACGACGTGTTTTTGGGTCAACAAGATGCAGTCGTGAATGAGACTGACTTACAAACATGGATGCTTGAAAATCTGGCCGATTATGTCCTGCTTGTGGTTACTATTACTCTGATGGAAGCTAACAGATATGAGGACCCAGTAGAGCAACCAGAGGGCCCATTCCCATCTGATGGAATACTTGGAATCTGGCTCCGCTTACTCAAATGCCACGTCAGAGGGCGTCCTCTGGAACAAGCGGGCTCGCTGGGGGTCGAAAATATTTATGACGTCAAGCTTCTGATTCTCCTTGTGCTCATAAATTTGATCCTGAAAGAGCTGACGAGTCTTGTGTATCGTCAAGGACTTACAGACTACACTTTGTTCGAAACTGTGGCCAATCAAGGTGACCACCGTGCATACCCATCGCTGCAACTGCTGCTGTCACAAACAAGGTTTTCTATCGGGACGCGCTGGGATAGGGTTGCTTCCATGGCTCCAGCTCAAACTTTGATCACAGAACTGAGAGCTCGTTATTTAGAGCAGTTTGGGTTTTTCTCTGTTGTTTCTGATATGATCCGCTATTTCAGCGAGCGCAATCGAGGGAAGAAGTTTAATGTGCGGAATTGTCACGACTTGGTGGAGCGCCTAAGCCAATTCAAGCATCAGATGGAAGTGTTGTTGTATCTGAGAAACTTGGATTTCTCTGAAGCTGGAAATGTGCATAAGGCTGAAGCGATCAAACCATTAGCTTCTGAGGCTCGCCGCAACGTTAATCGTGGCGGTGAAGGATTTGGCTATGACGAGGACGACGATGTTGATGAGGATGATGAAGAAGAAGAAGAAGACGAAGAGGAAGAGGAAGACGAAGCCGACGGCGACAATGAGAATGATAGCAATGACGACGAACAGATGATGCAGCAGATTAACGAGACGTTGGAAGAAGGGTGGTTGATGTGACCACGCTTGGAAACCTCACAAATAAACACCGATTGGCCCGTGTGGCTGAATTGTAGTGACAGCCAACCGTGCATAGCAACAATAATATCATCCACTTACTTTAAATCATGTTTTGATGACCATGAGGAACTGGCTCTAGTGTCTGTGTAATGAAGAAGAAAGTCAAGGCTTTCACCGAGATTTGGTTATGCATGGTTAAACCGAAATTAGACGCTTCTATCAGATTTAGTTACCGCATTTGTGCCGACAGAGGTGCGCTCAGTTCCACCCGAGTGCCAATCTGAAACCAAATTATACTACATATGGGTTTGCGATGGCATCGAGACATGTCCCCGACATCTTCATCCTCTGCTGAAGTCCGAGAGTTAACCTTAGTCGACGAACCACGGGAGTAGACGTTATGCAAGGCGAGCAAGTACAGCACGGGAGCCGCAGTTGATGGGGTCGACCCTGCCGAGGACAAAGCAGAAGCAAAAACGGTTGGATGACCGGAAAAATGGTGTCCTGTGCCTGTAACCCTTCCGAGACCGTTATGTAAAATGCTTTAGTTCTACCCAACTGTAACAATTTAAAGGTTTGCTTACAGATCGCTTAAGCATGTTATACGCCGGTATCAAGTTCGATCTAAGTTGAAGTTGAGCCAATCCAGTAGGGAATCGAGAATTTTGATCTAGGTTGAACCGTGCGGGATTTACGTATACCGTAGATTTAGTGATGCTTCTTGACCCACTTTCTTGGACGCGTGTTCTGGTCTTCGGCATTACCGCATTCCAAGTTGGGACAGATTCTGTTCCTGTTTGGATGATTCGGCGCGCTCGCTTGCTAAGATGCATGCAGGTGTAACGCCTCAGTTAGTAAAGCCGGCGAGGAAATGCATCGTGTAACTTATATTACGACGCAGCCAGAAAAGCTACACAGATTGGCTGGTTTAGGTTCGACACGAGTCTGTTTATTCCGTGCCACTACAGTAAGACGATCAAGTTTTATCAGTTCGAACCGGGATGAGGTTGGTCTTGTTCGCGGTGTCAGAAGTGGCTTTGACTGACTCGTCCATGACATTCTCATCATGGTACTATCGGCATAGTTTATGTGGCGAAAGCTCGTACCGCAACACCTGCGCGATGCAAATCCCCAAACCAACGCCTCGAATTCCCGTCAAAGCATATAATCTCTAGTAATCCCAAAGTAAACCCCAGCGGCCGTTCATTCGTTTTCTTTACCCGAGCACTATGTTGGTTACCGTGCCGGTATTAGCCGCGTTGGTATCACTCACCTCAGCTAAAGAGGTTTCAGGGGTTTTTACTTCACTTGACCTGGTGAAGTTTGAGCCGGGAGCCAACTACCTCTACGATACCCCCAACTCGGCCCTGTGGAAAGCCACCGTTTCTTGGAAAATTGAGGGTTCCAAGTACTCTGCTGGAGACACATTCACGTTGAACATGCCCGGGGTGAAACGGTTTATCATGGATGAAACCGAAGTTGACTTGAAGGTGGGTAGCCTGACTTACGCCAAATGTAAACCGTTCAATGGTCTCAACATTGTCGCTTTCTCTCAGCTTCAATGCACAATGACTGACACTGTGACTCTGCTGACGGTCGCGTACGGTCAGGCATCGTTTCCAGTCGCGTTTTGCAATGGCGGGTCCAGCGGCAATGTCGACTTGGAGTGCGCAAAATTGTGGCACAAAGGATCTAACACAATCACTTTCGAAGATGGGAAACCGTTGACCACTACCGCCAATTTTGAGGCAGCTCCTTATGACTCTCGTCTTGTTTACAGTCGGTCCACTCTGGTAGATCAACCTCAAGCGGCCAATTTCTTGCGTGGTGGCGTTTGTGAACAAGGTTACCGTCTGGGCACAATTGGCATGATTGTCAACAACATTGATTGTAGCAATGTCGACTTTGGCTTTTCGAATGACTTGAATGACTGGTCCTACCCCAAACTGGAAACGGAGCAATTCCCTCATCAAATCTCGTGTCTGAGAACTCAAGTCACCGTGCTGTACCAGAATGTACCGAAAGGTTATGTTCCCTACATTGTGGTGAAGACTAGCTATGCTAACAGTGACCGTGTTCAATACATCAACCGTTACCAATGCCAAAACTCCATTTTCACTAACCGCAATGAGCGCGTTGTTAACTGGACTCCTTACCAGGGTCTGAACCCTAACGGAAATGGCATGGCAGAGGTTGTGACTACCACTACTTGGACGGGAACGACGACCGACGTAACTACTCTTCCTTGGAAGCTGACGAATGGTGCTACCATCACGGTGTTGGTAAAAGTGCCCGATACCACCTCTCCCAGCCCGTCACCAACACTCGAAAGTACCCCCGAGCCGTCGCCATCTGTTGAGTCAGCCACGGAATCATCAGCATCGTCTTTTAAATCCTCATTTAAGCCGACCCCATCTTCTTCATCGGAAGTTACATCCTCCTCGTTACCCCCCAGTGAGTCGCCTAGCTCATATACCGAATCTTCGTCCTCTTTGACTGAAGTTTCGAGTTCTGTGCTGGCTCTGTTGCTGAACTCGTGCTACTTACTCACATCTACTACAACTTTCACACCCACTGTCACAGAAACCATTCCATCGTCGACTTCTGAGACCGAGACTTCCAGCTCGACTTCTGAGACCGAGACGTCGACCTCCGAGACTTCCAGCTCGACTTCTGAGACCGAGACGTCGACCTCCGAAACCTCCAGTTCGACCTCCGAGACTTCCAGTTCGATCTCCGAGACCTCCAGTTCGATCTCCGAGACCTCCAGTTCGATCTCCGAGACCTCCAGTTCGATCTCCGAGACCTCCAGTTCGATCTCCGAGACCGAGACGTCGACCTCTGAGACCGAGACGTCGACCTCTGAGACCGAGACGTCGACCTCTGAGACCGAGACGTCGACCTCTGAGACCAAGACTTCCAGCTCGATTTCTGAGACCGAAACTTCCAGCTCGACTTCTGAGACCAAGACTTCCAGCTCGATTTCTGAGACCGAAACTTCCAGCTCGACTTCTGAGACCGAGACGTCGACCTCTGAGACCGAGACTTCCAGTTCGACTTCTGAGACCTACAGTACTGATTCAACCACTGCCTCTAACACTAATATTACCGGTTCGTGTGTCATACTTACGGAAACGACGACCTACACTCCGTCGATTACTCTCACGTTGACGACTTCAGCTTCAAGGGTACCTCCGGTTCCTCAACCTCCCATTGAACCTCCTGAATCTTCGAGTCACACCACCGAACAGTCTGCTGCCGAGCCGACCACTGGGCTGTCCTCTGAGTCTGAACAGTCTGCTGCCGAGCCGACCACTGAGCCGTCCTCTGAGTCTGAACAGTCTGCAGCCGAGCCAACCACTGAGCCGTCTTCTGATTCTGAACAGTCTGCTGCCGAGCCGACCATTGGGCCGTCTACCGAGCTGACCACGGAGCTGGTCTCAAAATTCACTCCAGTAGAATCCTCAGACTCCAACTGTACTGCGGTGACTTCAACTACAAAGGTCACCCCTACGTCGATTATCATCTCGGCTTCAAACCGATCGAATCCTTCGGAAGCAATCGATGTCAATGTCCCTTCTGACACATCCGACAATGAAGAGGCCTCAACTTTTGAAGAGGTAGTTTCTACCTCTATTGAGACTGAAATTGAACTCAACAAGGTGACCGAAACAGTGTGTGTTGAATGCTTGAGTTCTGGAAACCTTGTTGGGGAATTTTCTTCAACCTTGATTGCAACATCAAGCGAGACGCTCCTCTCTGTGGAACCAACTGCTGAGAACATTGGGGACAATGGTGAAACTCCTGCAACGGATAACAATAAGAATCCAGTCGAATCTGTGGTGACTGAAAATGTCCATGGTGGGAATCCCAAGACTGATAACTCAGAGGGTCAGAGTGAAACTTCTGCATCGGCAGAGTTGGTAGGTCAAGGTGAAACGGCTTCGAATGACATTCCCAAGGCAGTTCAGACTAGTCCCACCGAGAACGATGTTGAAACTACGACAATCGAGTCTCACGAATCAGCATGGGCGACTGTTGTTTGCCATGGTGAAGGTTGCAACGTGAATGGCCATTCCACATACCCAGAGCACATTCTGACCGCACCTCAGGGTCAACCCGATCGTTCTTTACCCCACACCGAGGAACTTGAAAACCCCAAAATAACCTTATCAGCTTCTCCCTCCCAACTTTCTTCACACCCTGAGCCCACAAAGTTGGTTTCTCCTCAGCCCTTTGAAGGCGCTGCAGGAACGATTAAGATCTCACGTGTGGCTTGGGTCTTGGCAGGTGCGCTCATATTTGTTTGATGCTCTCCCCAATACCTTAAGCGGAGAATATCACTAATACTCTAAAAAATTGCAATAAATGATTAACAAAGATATCCATATACAAGTAGATTGATAGAATTTTCATTACTTCTTCAAGCTGAGTAGCGAAATCAATGATTCGTCCAGAGTTTTTACGGTTTATTGATCAAAACATATGAGGGGCTTCAAGATCAAATAGCATAAATTGTAATTATTTCAACTTACCTGCGTATAGCGTTACCAAAAAATTTATAGAGTTTGAGTCAAACAATTGGGCGTACAGTGGTGCTATTTCTCCCAACCTTGAATAAGCCATCAGTAATAATGGATGATCAATTTGTTCAGGCGACCTACCGTATTGCTACTCTTCGAAACCTTAGTTTAATTTATATTCTAGATAGCCGCAATATGAACGTCTTATGATTATGCGACTACTCAAATGATATAAAGCAATGCTGAGTTGTTTAACCTCAAGAGATATTTTCATCTATCTTGAACTGCTCCCACGCTTTGTTCAATCGTATGAAAACTGCATTGCAAACCAACCCCGCCCGGGGGTTCTCTTTGCATTGCAGTGCCAATTTATCCGGGTGAATGGCTGAAATCACTTTCATGTACTGAATTTTCACTTGTTTTGGAAGCATCAAATCATTCAACGTCAACTTACGCAATTGAGGCTTCATCGCTACTTGCTGGGGAATGACTTCATCCAAGTTGGAAAGAAGTCCTCGCAAGTTATTTTGCTTGCGTTTAGCCCAAGCGTCAAGCTCAGTTTCGATATCATCAAGAAGTTCGGTTTGATCTTCTTGCGGCTTCAACTTTGTGGGTGAACGTTTCGTCACAGGTTTAGGGGGAGCTGAAGATGTCGTTGCAGGTTTAGGCTTGGGTCGGTAATTTTGCGGGTTAACAACCTTGTCAACTCTGCGACGACCATCAGTTACTTTGCGATCGCTAACGCCAAGCTTGGAGACAAGCGTCGTGTACAGTTCTAGAGCGTTTTCATAACGCTCCATCAACTCATTTACTTCCGCTTGAGTGAGAAGAAGCTTTGTATACCAGTACTTGATAGGTTTATCTGCGATGGTGTTATCGCTCGTGGTGTATACCTCATTCTCATGATCAATTAATTTGAGGGCATCCTCAATAGCTTGTAGTGACTGCTTAAGATTTCCCACCATTTTGTAAGCGTTTGCCAAATTACTCCCAATAATGACACGACGTTCATGATTATCTGGTAAGCGTGCAAGACATGTTTGGAACTGCTCAAGAGCAGTTACATAGTCACCAGATGAATACGCGACGGTCGCTGCCTCTTTTGCGGTGGTGTAATCAGTTTCATCAAATGTGTTGAGGGGAACATTTGATCGGAGGGAAACCAGTTGATTCGGGCTCAGTAACCCTAATAGATCGATGGAATGAGAAGAAGGGATAGCTGGTTTCTGTTGCTTCTTAGGGGAAGGGCGTTTGGGAAGTTCATACACTGATTGCACTGAATCAGGTTTCTTTTGAGGTCTTGAGGGAAGGGAGTCAGGACTCTCTGTTTTCAACAGTTTTTGTTCACGACGAGCCCCAACTGCTTGAGCATTACCCCGGGTGGACCTGCCCTCTTCAAATCCTCTAGAAGATTTCTCGGTTTGAGCCTGCTTTGGTTTATTTCCACCGGGAAGATCTTCACGGCGTTGTTCACGCTTTTGCTTTTGCTGTCGAATTATTCTCTGAATTTCGACCTCATCTATATTCTCCAGATCGCTCCCATAATCCTCAACATTGTACTTTTTTTCGATTGCTTGATCCTTGTATTTTGATGCTTGCTTCATCCACGCGGGCAATCCATCGTCAGTCGTTTGGCCTCCGTCAACAAACTGATCAATGTTTTTCTTGATTGTTTTGTTAGCCTTGTTAAATAACGAATATCCCATCAGCATGCCTTTACTGAACCACTGCTCCAAGTCGGGACCTTGGCCCTGTTGTGGGCGCGGGGGCAATACGGATTCTGGCTCACCTGCTCCTGCGGCCTTTGCCATAATATAATTGACGCAGTTTTGAAGATTGTACCCTTTCCGATCTATAGCTTCATTGGCAGTATCGACATCAAAGCCAACATCCACAAGTTTGGCAATCAAAGCATCTCGTTGAGAGTCCAGACTGGCTTCACGTTCACTCGTTTCACCTTGATCCTTACTGGGTTTGAACAGTTGCGTTTCTTTTGAAGTGTTCGTTTCTCTAACGACCCGTTGTAAACTTTCGCGGTTGGGGGTAAATGCATCGGTGAAGTCGTCATCAAGTAACAGGCCCGTACCGCCATTGGAACTTGGAGTAGAAGATTTGGGAGCACTTGAGTATTTAACAGCAGAGCTCGAGCCGAACAAATCATCGAGAAGGTCATTAGTCGACGATTTTGAGCCATTTGGCTTCTCTTGACCGAGTATATCCAACAAGTCGACGCTGTCCGACGGTAAGTTTGATTTAATAGCTCCATTAGTCTGATTGGTGTGACGGGAATTAACTGACAATATGTCGAAAGGATCCAGTTTAATTGCACTCGATGTCAGTAACAGCAGCAGCAGCAGCGTTGGTGTGAGAGGCGGCGCCATAGCACCCTTTTGGAGACGCTGTTGCATTGACATAGATGATTCATTATTCTTACGTCGACTCCCCGCAAATAAATCAGCAAAAACGTCCTGCTTTGGTGGCATTGTTCTGTGCGAGTGCTATCTTGGAAGGTACGTGTCAATGGTACTGCGACTAGTGTACTTCAATCACGTGACCAATTTGGAGCCCGAGATTGTGATTCGAATTTGTGGTTGGCTTTTAACAAATTCATATGTTCGAGTGTTCATTTCATTATCGACTGATATGCACGGAATTTTTAATGTAAAGTTATATAGGACTCTTCAGAATGTCAGGTAACGTCTGCGATGTCAGAGGCGAACAGATGTCATCCCCTGTAGTCAGAGGTGTAGGACAACTGTGGGAATATGAAACGTTACCATTAGTTCAGAGGATGAGTTTGAAAACAATTCACAGTGTTTGAAAAGCACGGTTTTACATGACGTAACTTCAAATAATTAGAGTGGCTTGTAAAATGTTTGTTAAACAAAGCCGTTATGGTGCAATGGCCCTCATGGTTCGCCCACACCGAGCAAATCAGGGTTATACTCTCTGTACTGAAGGAACAATTCTTTTCATTTGAATCTACCTTTTTTAGCTTATCTCGAGCCTCATCGCTTGTTCTCGCCGTTCTTAATAACGCCGCGCATGTTCGACCTTGGATGCATGAAAGTTCGGGTATCGAAGGCCGTTAAGGCGGGTCTAGTCCCACTACTAAATAGAGAAAAGGCGATCGCTACAGCACGGCAGAAAAGTGTTAGGACCACCCAAGATCTATCGCTTCACGTAATCAACTCTATTTAAATCGTTTTAACTGGCACCTCGTTGCGTTTTGAACGTGTACCCCAATTTAACCCCACATAAGCATCTCATGCTCGAATGCAGTCGCGAGTAGTGGTATTTCGGATTGCAAGTTATTACTCATCCATTTAGCAATGTCTCGAACCATCGAGCTTCAACCGATGGAGGGTCTGTCTACTCATCATCGGATGGTCACTCTCAAAGACAAATCGAAGGAGGAGCATCTGGCTGAACATGATGAACAAGATATCGAGCAAACTGTGCTGGTTCCCGATTCCGATGATGAATCGCATGACGTGTATCCTGAGGGTGGCCTAAGAGCGTACCTCGTTGTGTTGGGGGGATTTTTTGGTTGTATTGTCAACTTAGGTGTTCTCAACTCTATTGGGGCGGTACAAATGTGGGTGTCTGGACATCAACTCAAGTATTACCTGGCGCTGACTATTTCCTGGATTTTTTCAATCTATTTGGCATTGACCTATATGCTTGCCATCATTGCCGGTCCTATATTCGACCGTTACGGCCCACGGCATATCATGATTGTGTCAGCTCTTCTCATGTTTGGTGGTCTTATGGGAGTTGCGAGTGCCACCGAATTATGGCAATTTGCGTTGGGGTTCATCTGCCTTGGGACCGGTAATGGGCTTGGCATGAGTCCTCTGATTTCCACTCTTAGTCATTGGTTTTTTGAGAAACGAGGCACGATGGTGGGTTTTGCGACACTGGGTGGCCTGGTGGGGGGTTTGGTGTTTCCACTTATGCTCCGATATGCTTATTCCAAATACGGCTTCGAATGGGCCATCAGAATTTTGGCGTTCACGACTTTGGGTTGTATGGTAGTTGCTACTGCGTTGGTAAAAGAACGCTTTCGCCGACTGCCACTGCAAATGTCTGAAAACCATCGACTGACACTGAAATGGGGTCACCTCAAAAGCAAAGTTTCTTTGAAGTTCCTCGTTGAGTTAGATCGTCGTTATTGGATACTTGTTGCTGGTGGATTTTTTGCTGAGCTCTCACTAGTGTTGATCATGACATACTTCTCAACTTATTGTATTGCAAAGGGCCAGACAGAATCAACGTCATTGTTATTGGTGACAGTATGGAACGCTACTGGTATTCCTGGACGAATTGTCCCTAACTTCGTCAGTGACTATTTGGGCCGGTTCAACATGAATGTGGCAATGATTCTAGGATACACAATTGTCATTTGGGCAGTTTGGCTTCCGCTAGGTCATTTGGTTGGGGCGCTTTATGCATTTGCTGCCATTGGTGGATTCTTTTCTGGCTCAATTCTTCTGCTATTGCCAGCATGCCTCTCGCAAATCACGCCTGTGAGGGAGATCGGAATCCGTTATGGTATAGTCAACTTTGTGTTATCCATTGCGAACTTATTTGGCGTCCCAATAGCACTGGCAATCATCGGTCAGGGTACACTGAGCGACTATGACAAATTCGTAATTTTTGTCGCTTGTTTAGCCACCGCAGGTTTGGTGTTATGGTACGTCGACCGTGGCGCGGTGGCAGGGTATAAAGTGAACATTAAAGTGTGAATTAAAGTACAAGTAAATAAATCAAATCATCAGCATCCTAACATTTCCACTTGACTTGTACCAGCTGTAGTTTTCATGAAAATTCTAAGATTAATTGTTTCATGAGTTAAACGTCGAGTAGGAATTCAGCGTCGTTGCGCTATACCACCTTGTCCAGTATATTGACGTAACCCTTGGTTGACCAGAGGCGGTATTTGCTGTCCTTGTACCTGTACATGTGCCACACCATCTTCGGCCTGGTTTGAGGCACCAAGTCTTGATTCAGCAACTTGTATCAAGGGAACTAGGCACTCGTATTGCTTCAGATACTCCGAAATTGCTTGTTGAACCTGATGAAGCTTCTTAACTACCAGAATGTAGTACAGTTGTTGAGATTGGTCTGGCGGTATTGTGGCAAGGGTGGTAACAAACTGTGCCATGCAATTGCGGAGACCGTTGATTTCAGTCTTTAGTCGGTCAATCTCGGTATACACTTCGGTTGGTTTCACACGTCCCAGCTCAATATCCTCCAACTGAAATGGTGGTCGTTGATTTGTGGTAGCCATATCCATAAGGTGGGTGATCGCACTAACACTATAGATAGGCGCAAGAATATATAAATAATGTTAAATGGCATATCCAAAAAACACCTTCCACTACAAAATATTGTTTGAAACTACATTGATGAAGATATAAAGAAAACTAAAGACGTGTCACAGTTTTTTATCAATGGTTTATAGGAAATATGCGTGATGTGTTCGATTAACTCACGATGCGCCAAGTGTTCGAGAAATCGATCTCGAGTAAACTATATAGAGTGCTTTCCAAAAACAGTTTCAAGTAAGACCGTCAGCTCCACCCAAGCCGAGATAAAAATATGGTGTTGTGCCTCCACCCGATCGTCGCGACCTAACCCCACGCTCCTCGGTCCGGCATTATCACATGGATCGGTAACCCCACAACCGACCTTTGCAAAACTAAAATCATTAGGAACTTTAACACACGCACGTCATGACCAAGGTACTTGTTACTGGTGCCAACGGCTACATTGCTCAATGGATTGTGCGGTATTTGATTGAAGGAGGGTACGATGTCTTAGGGACTGTGAGATCTAATGACAAAGGCGACCGCCTCGCCCGCTTCTTCGGCCCCAAATTCCAATACGCTGTTGTCCCGAATATAGTTGACCCCCATGCCTTCGATCAAGTGCTCAAAGATCATCCCGAAATTACGGTGGTTCTTCACACAGCGTCGCCCTTTTCTTTCGAGGTTGAGGAACCTGAGCGGGATATTTTGAAACCGGCAATTGAAGGAACGAAACTGATTCTTGATTCGATTTTTAATTATGCCCCTCAAGTGACGCGGGTTGTCATTACAGCATCTACTGCTGGTTGTCGTCCTGAAGTGGAACTGCCAGATAACGTGGCCAATGAAGAGACTTGGACGTTTATCGATTACGACGTCGCCAAAGACAACCTGATTTTGGCTTACTTGGCGCTGAAGCCCTTGGCGGAGAAGGCAGCCTGGGATTTTGTCAAGGAGAAGAAGCCTAACTTCACCTTAACAACGGTATTGCCTGGTTACACATTTGGTCCTCAATGCGATCCAGATGACGCAAAGAAAGTCAAGCTTAACCAGCTGATGCAAGTGATCGATGACTTGCTCGAGCTGGAACCTGAGACCAGAGGTCCCGTTAAGCATTTTGGCCCCTACATTGATGTGCGCGATGTTGCTAAGGCTCACATTGCCCCAATCACTGACTCAAAACTCCATGGTGAAAGATTACTTTTGGTAGACCGCCGGTTTACCATGCAAACTTTAGCCGATATCGTCAATCGCGAATGGCCAGAACTCAAAATTTGGAAAGGTCACCCAGGTGGTGACACGTATAAGTTACGGAAATTGGGCAAGTACGATGCAAGCAAAACGAAAGGGCTTTTGGGATGGGAATTTATCGATATTGGAACGTCGGTGAAGGACTCTGTAAGCCAGTTATTCCGTGCTCGCGGAAGTAAAATTTGATGATGTATGTTATTAGAAACACTAAGAATTCGTAAACACTCTGAGCAAATTAGAATTGATTTGGTTCACCTTTGCGAACCGGCAAACCCAAGTAACGGGCAACGTCATCGAAGGCAGCCTTCAAGTCAGCGTCGCTGATCAGGTCATGAATTTTCAGCAAGGCCAGCGCCAGCGTCTTCTCCTCCAATGCTTTCTTCACAGCCTCGGGGTCATCCAGCTTAGCAGCCTGTGCTAAGGACTCAAGACGAGTATCAGGAACAAGTACTTCATAGAAAAGTGCCAATTGAATGATATCAATTTTGGGCAACTTTTCAAATTCAGCCACTGTGGCAGGAAACTTGAAGCCCAAAAGATCTTCTGTCGGTTGTTCACCATCACGGTTGGACAAGGGAGCAATGCTACCTTTGGTAGTCAGGTTGTACACGCGTCTGATGCTTCGGTCCTCGATACCATCCAACTGGCCCTGCAACTCACCGACCATTTGAATAAGATCTTCGTTAGTGACGTAGTCAGTCAAGTCGAGGTCATCAACCCCTTTCAGCTTGTCTTGGGGGTTCAATTGGCGTTGAACGTCATCAATCAGCTTCATTCTCGCCTTGACGTCCAGAACCTGTAACTGCACTAATTGCTGACCAGTTTTGGCAAGCAAAGCACCCTGCTTTTCAACTAACTTTTCGAGTTGGTCAATGCGTTGTTGAATGTCAGACATATTTGACAAGGGTAATGTGGAAACGTAGTGTTTAGATATACTCCGCGCCACCACTCTTACACATACCCAGGTGGGCGCGTCGTGTCCCTACCGTAATTACCCCAGTGAGCACCAAGGAAGCGAGCCTAACGATATTCTGCAAAAGAAACGATCGGTTCAGGGTGTTTTAGGGGCGACAATGAGCCGAGCCAAGATCGGCTCACTACACTTAGGTTGTGGGACCTTGTGGGAACCACCTATCGATGGCATTCAGACATTTTTCCAAGTAAGCAATACGGCTTGCTGAAAACTGCAAGGTGATTGCTCTAGCATCACCCCTCCTCAGCTTCACCATTAGGCTGAACATGGTCGTGTGAGCCATGTCAATTGAAAGGGGCTCGCTTTTTTTCCCCACGATCGTCATCTGCTTGAAAATTGAATCTGTTCAGCAAATATCTCAAGGGGCCACTCTAGTCTTACTTCTACAATTGTAATCGTCTTTTAAAGTATCTTCTCATCTATCTGTGTACCCTCGTCGACGCCGGCTTCGGTCTCCCCCACGGGTCGCACGAAAATCTCTTTGTTTCCACACCTTCTCCACCGAATGCTGGTGGACGGAGCGGTGAAAAGGGACGACCGTGCGTCCAATCCACCGCTAGGACAGCCTCTTCCATTAGGAGGCGTCTATTTCAATACAAAACCAGTTCCGACAGTGGCACCAGCAGCGCGGGTGCTGGTAACGCTGCAAGCACTGGGCCTGGGCGTGCCTGTTTCGCCAAAGCCACCCACAGTGAAAGAAACACACCAGGTGTATCTTGAATACGACAGAATCACACGGCGACGCGTGCTCAACACTTACGAAATCCTTCTGGAGATTGGACGCGGGGAACATGGGAAGGTTAAGCTTGCCAAGGATCTCGCACTGAATCAATTGGTGGCCATCAAGATAATCCTGCGGAAGTCGAAACGACATCTGTTCCATGGGTATCTGTACTACGGTGAGTTACTGAGACTGATGCTGCCTCAAGAACGCAAGGTACGGCGCGAGATTAGTATAATGAAGCGTTGCCATCACCCCCACATCGTTCAATTGCGAGAGGTTTTGGATGACGACAGCGCGCTGAAAATATATTTGGTGCTCGAGTACCTTGAGAAGGGTGAAATTAAGTGGAAACGCTCAAATCATGAATGTTCCGCTGCTTCTAACAATGGCATTGTCACTGTGGTCAATGGAGTAGCGCAACCGGCGCCTAGTCAACCAGACCCCCAAGAACTTCCCTGCACTCGCGAATCGGAAATAGACTTGCCTTCAGATGAATATGCGCCTAATTTACTGTTCGCTCAACTGAGGCGCGCCCTTCGTCATGTCGTGCTTGGACTCGAATACCTTCATGCCCAAGGCATTGTTCATCGGGATATCAAACCGGCCAATCTTTTGGTAAGTGCCACGAATTGTGTCAAAATTCTGGATTTCGGAGTGTCACTGCTCATTGCTAGCGACGGGAAAGTTGACTTGACAAAAACCGCTGGTACCCCAGCTTTTTTTGCCCCAGAATTATGTCAAGATCAAGATCTGACATACTCCATAACACACAAAATTGATATTTGGGCTTTAGGAGTCACCCTATATTGCTTGCTTTTTGGTAAGGTGCCATTCAATGCCCCAACTGAATGGGAATTGTTTGACGTAATTTGTCATCAATCTATTCCATTCCCAGAATATTCAGAGCTCATCCAAGTAGCTCCTATCTCAAAAACCGAATATGATGACGCTCAGGACCTACTTCGAAAATTGCTTGATAAAAACCCGAACACGCGCATTGACATTCCTGCAATCAAGCACCATCCATTCACTCTCATGGGTTGTGAAGATGTGGAGCTGTTTTTAGACTCCAAACTGCTGTGGTCACCTCTCCCTGCTCCAGCTGGCGAACCTGTGGGCGTTGGGGCAACTTTGGGTCAAGGTGCTATGATTCTCTCTGAGCTGGTCAACACCACCCTGACACCAACACCATCTGGGTCTTTTGCCGGCAAGAGACCAAGTACGCATGAAGCGTTGTTGACACGAACTCGCCTGGGGGATCTGGCGCTGAGGCGTGGTCTGGTAGAGGCGTGCCAAATTGAGACTATGCGTCACGCTAGAGGTGATGTATATTTACTGAGCACCCCAGTTTTGGCAACCATCAAAGGTATTCAGGAGCAGGATGACAAGCGGCGGCGGCTGTCGATCTTTTCAAATAGTCGCATGGGTACTCCATTTGAGCCAGGAACCGCTGCATCTTCGAAACGGTCACTATCAGCTCTGCTGTCACAGGCTTCACCTGTTCCAAGCCGCCAACCGAGCTACACAGGGAATGTAGCTGCACCTATTGCTGTTCCTGGCAGACCCCGTCTGCGTCCTCCTCTGGCACAGTTCATTGGTGAGGGCGCAAACATTGTCGGCATGGGCCACTCCCTTGTTGCAAATCATTGGGCTGCAGGTGGTAACAACGCATTTGTTGCACCAACTAGTAATGCCCCTGGTGGAAGTCAAGGGCCTATGGCAACGACGACGGCACTGGCACTGCTGGTACTACTGTTACCATTACTGGAGCTGTTTGCTCTGCTTGACTCCTTTGATGAAGCAGCAATTGATAACTTCCTCTCGCAATGCCTGCTGGACAACCTGGGCGTTTTGCCTATACCCCAATCACGGCTGGCGCTGACATCTGGCATCACGGAGAAATTGAAAACGTTCAACTTGCACATGGGACAGAAGAAGCGGCAACTGGATCGTGGAGTGGGTCCAAGGAATGAAGGCGAAGGCTTAGCGTTGCTGGATTGCGATCTGTCACTGTGTCTGAGTAGTCTGGAAAGCGATGACGACAATGCCAATTTGCTGTTTCTGTTCTCATCAAAATTGGCACCACAACTGAGACTGCAACTGGTACGACCCCCTAATGCTGCACCCCCGACACAACTGCTGCTTCGGCCGGCTTTTCTTAATCACAACCGTCGACTGGCACTGCACGACACTCACGTAGGTACGCGAGCTGGTAACGGTATGCTGGTGGTAATGATTCATGATACTCATCTGCCAGCGCCTGAACTCGCAGATGTTCCAGCGGGGTTGTTTGGGCAGGGGTTATCGGCAGGCCTGGCATCTCTGGCACTGCTGATGCCTCAAGCTGTTCCTGTGAAGCAATCACAGAGTGAAGCATTGCCACAACTTATTTATTCAATGCCGTCTCTGCCTCTGGCTCTGACAGGGCGCATGCCTCATGTGCGCCAGCTGTTGATCCCGGGACCTCGTTCGCCTTTAGTGAAGCACGTCACCACATTTGATGACGCAAGGTCACGGCTGAACCTGATTTCGTTGGCAATGTTAGACCGGCAACATGGTACATAGTCAAATACAACCAGCACCAACATCGGCGACTTTTAAATGACGAACAGTACTCTAGCTCTAGTTTACGTAAACGTATACTTACACTTTTATGAACGGGTCCAAAAAATTCTTCACTAGTGGTATAAAGTAAGCCACAAAGATGAAATTCAGTACCAATCTGGCCACAATAGAGCTTTGTAACTATATATTACGAAACTTAATCGCGAAAGCGAAACCCATGTTGTTGGTCTCAAATCGAACTCATCGCATCTTGCCAAATTAATCGAAGTCTCACAAAGTTATTTGGGTTTAGACGAGCAAATCCAAATTGCCTGATTCAGATACATTAAAGTTTGAGTTATATGCAACCACCACACACTACAGAATCCGTACGGAGTCTGCAGTCGCCAAGCCTAAGGGCCAAGACTGAGAGCCAAGCCTGAGAGCCAAGCCTAAGGGACAACCCCGTTAAACGAAAAATATTTCTTGACATAGTGTCAAAGTTGCATCCAAGGATTAACTCAAGGACTGATAAGTCACTTCCTCATTCAGTTCATGGACTCGGATATGCATTTTTTTTTTGCTTCTCCGGGTTTCGGCTTTGTGGCCGCAGCAACTGATTGATCAGACAACGCGATTTCCACGGCTGAGGTTTGACCATCCGAAATTCCCGGGTGAGCTCTGTTATCGATAGGATTTACAATCGTGTAAATCCTACCAATCGTCTGGATAATATTTCGATCTTATGGCATTAAAATTTCTTGACTTTTCATTCTATACAGTCATGTTCTTCTCCACCAATGAGAGACGCGTATGTAGGTGGAACGTGTTGGTCGCAAACTTGAGATAAGAATTGAGGTGTGCCAAAGATATGAAGAGTTTATGATGTATTAATCTTTTGGTTATGCAAAAACTCCATTTCTAATTTAAACGAGCAAATGATCGTGGCTCAGGTTTGGGCCTACAAGGCAATAACGATGTATCTGATAATGATTTTTATCTCATCGATATTTATGCAGGGTGCATGAATGCATGCCGACAAATTTTTTTTTCTCAACTTATAAGGTCCCCCGCCCCAGCTTTCTCCAGAACCCGAATCCACAATGGCTCAGGTGTTCAATGTTACGATCTTTTTTGTCGTGTTCAGAGAATCGCTCGAAGCGGTGATCATTATGAGTATCCTTTTCTCATTTTTGAAACAACAGTTTGGTACTGCAGAACACCACAAAGCAATTTACAAGAAGTTGTTGAAACAGGTGTGGATTGGTGGGTTTCTAGGGTTGTTTGTGTGTTTGTGTATTGGTGCTGGTTTCATTGGTGCGTTTTACTCGCTTAAAAACGATATTTGGTCCAAGTCAGAAGACTTGTGGGAGGGGATCTTTTGTATCATTGCCACAGTCATGATTACGATTATGGGTGTGGCGATGTTGAGAATCAACAAGATGCAACAGAAATGGCGGGTGAAGCTTGCCCAAGCGCTTTTGAAGGCTCCCGAAAAGAAAATGGACCGGTTGAAGATCGGCTACTTATCGAAAAAATACGCCATGTTTTTGTTGCCTTTCATCACCGTATTGAGAGAAGGGTTGGAAGCAGTGGTTTTTGTCGGGGGTGTTGGTTTGAATCAGCTGGCCACCGCGTTCCCCTTGCCGGTTGTGGTCGGGCTCATTGCCGGTATTTCTGTTGGGGTTGTCCTCTATTACTTCGGGAACAATGTGTCAATGCAATTGTTCCTTATTGTCTCCACTTCGATGCTTTACCTTATTTCTGCTGGTTTGTTTTCTAGAGGGGTGTGGTTCTTTGAAAACTACGTTTACTCCAAGCAGACTGGTGGTGATGCTGCTGAAAACGGTTCTGGCCCCGGGACTTACAATATAAACAAATCCGTGTGGCATGTCAATTGCTGCAACCCCCTTACCGATCACGGTTGGGATGTGTTTAACGCTCTTTTTGGCTGGCAAAACTCTGCCACTTATGGTTCAGTGCTCTCATACAATGTCTACTGGATTTTTATTATTGCTACCTTGTTGCTCATGTTGTATGAGGAGAAGCATGGGCATTTGCCCGGGTTAAAGAACTTGACTTTGGTTGAGTTGAACCCAATGTACCATATTAAGGGAAAGAAGAAGAACCAGCTCACTGCTGCACAGGAGGAGGAACTCTTGGCTAAGATGGATGATCAGGAGGCTTTGGCAAAGATCTTGAACGGAGAGATGCCGCCTCCTGCGGATTTGAGCCATACAAACGGGTCAGAACAAACGTCGCTGGACGAAGACGTGTCCCGGGTTCAGGAAGCTGTAGTAGGGGAAAAGTAATGCTGCTGTCCCTCTTGAATGCAATGATTCCGACGAGAATCAGATATCAAGATACGATATTGTACACATCGCTCCCAAAATTATAATGTCTTTAATGAATTGAAATTAAATTCACAGAACTAAGTTTTTGTACTACTTTTGGAACTTAGAGTCGTTTACGTCCCACGGAGCTTGTCTTTCCATTCAAAGGATACTTGCATAGTTCAAGTAGAAGCAACATGTAACTAGTAGTCATAGGCTTAATTCCGCTTGAATATAAAACTATGATATTGCGCTCGTTTTTCCGGCTAAGATCGCGATATGTTGACTCTCATATGGCTAGTTGTAGGATCAGCCACTGCCCTGGTTGCTGGGGTAGGGCCTGATCTTGCCGACCATTACAACCCCGGAAAGCCGTTTCGTTGCATTTCTGATCCCCTGATTGTCATCAATTGGGATCAGGTAAACGATAACGTCTGCGACTGTCCTGATGGGAGTGACGAGCCGGGCACGGCAGCTTGCGCCCAGGGAAAGTTTTGGTGTGCTAACGAAGGTCATTATGGTCAATACATTCCCAGTTTTCTTGTTAAGGACGGTGTCTGTGACTACGACGTCTGTTGTGATGGATCGGACGAGGGACTGGAAGTATGTCCCAATCGTTGTGCTGAGGTTCACCAACAATTCGAAGACTATAAAGTTAAAGTGGAGAGTCAAGTCCAGCAAGCTTTGAGACTACAAAAGGCGATGAAGACAAAGGCACAGGTGGCCAAGGAAGAGGAGGGGCGTACGATTGAAAAAATCAAGAAGAGATTAAAACGAATGGAAAATGAAGCTCGAGAAACACGCGATTCACGTGATGACGTAAGGGAATATATCGAATGGCAATCCGATCAGATTAAACAACTTCAGCAAATCTTACTGTCATTGATGAAGAACCACAATCCGAACTACAATGATGCTGCTGTCAAAAACGCGGTTGCTTCGTTTCAAAGGTTGGACGCTAATACTGAAGTACCAGCTATTCCAGATTTAGAGAAGCTTGGGAATCTGGAAATCACGCAAACACCGACATTTACTGGCTTAATTCACCACTACATGAAGAAAATCACTGAGTTGTTTGGCGGGTCGTCACATAACGAGATTACATCCGACCCGCAGAAACTCCCGCCACAATATCATCGATATAAAGAGATACTCTCCCGCCACACCTCCAACCCAATAAACTATGGCGAGGACGACATCCTCAGAGCTGCTACAAATACCGTTAATTCAAAATATGGGGAATACAACTATATCATTGAGTATCTCCAGCTGATTCGACAAGACGATACATTGGTGGGAGTCTTTGCTGGCTACACTCCCGAAAGCAATACTCTTCATTACGCACAAGGTGACAAGTGTTGGAATGGGCCACGTCGCCTGGCTGATCTAAAACTTGTTTGTGGCCCCGAAGAGAATGTGATCATGGTGAGCGAGCCAGAAAAATGTCGCTACTTTATTGAAATGACTCACCCGCTTGCTTGTCGTGCTCTCAGTGAAAATGAATTACGTACATCTTTTGAAGTGGACTATGAAAATTTGGAATAAATAAATTAAGTCAATCGAATTTGATTTTTTTCCCTGTGAACTCGACCTTAGAAAGTTGCTCTTGAGCTTTTCGTTTCGCTTCCCACGAGGGATGCACAGCCTCCTTCTTTTCCTTTAATGGAATATAATTTGGATTGTCCTTCTTTCTCTCTTCCTCTTCTCGTGCTTTCTGTTCACGTTTGCGACATCTCTCTTCGTACTCTAGCTGTCGCTGGCGACGCTCGCTGGCTTCCTGCTCACGTTGCAGCTTTACGTGCTTGGCCTCACTTCCAAACTTCTTTTTCCAGATTCTCTGTCTAGCCCTTTGACCACGTCGATTCTTCTTTTCTGTCTTGGAATTTTCCGGTTCTTCGTCCTCCGAAAGTGATGCATATCCCCCGATGAGCTCAGGTAAATTGTATTTCTGATCTTCTTGGTCCGTATCACTACCACCTTTGAAAAAGGAGTCCTCTGCGCTGTCTTCATCGTCATCATCCAGCCCCAGAGCAACCATCCCGGCAAACTCATTATAGTGGTTATTGTCATCATTCTCTTCACTTTCCTCACTTTCCGAATGAATATCAGATTCGGAGGTACCCATGTCTCTAGCATGTTTACGGCGCTCGATTATTGTAATGTTGCCTCTGATCATTCGGAACAGCCACTCTATCTCAGCCAAAGTCTTCTTCATTGTTTTGGCATTCCAAACTTTCAGCACGAAAGCCAGCTTGTCTTTATCATCAGCGTGACTTTTGAAAAATGTTGACGGATGGCACTCGGTCTGATTAAGTATGATGTCGCGAACTTTGTCACTTACCCATGCCGGGGGGTCTTTTCTTTGAGAACCTTGTAATGCATTGAGAAGTAATTTCGTTAACTTTGAAACTCTGAGAAGAGTCCGATCAACAATCATGTCGTCATCTTTGTACACGGCGAGTGACTTGGTGAGTTTGCGGTTGCCCAGATGCCATTTCTTCTCAAATTCATCTCGCTTATAGCTGAGAATCATGTCATCAACGTCGGTGTCTTTGAGTCCCGAAAGCTTCTTTGGAACGTTTTTCAGACGCAAAAGCTTCTTTGTATGAGAAAAGCGGGGCGTCATTCCCTTGTACTTTGCTTCGAGGTAATCTGCCTTCCACAATGACATGACTGTGGGAATTCAAAGTGAAAAAGACACGAGTTTGTTATGGGTATCAGTAAAAGAAGGTGATAAGTAGCAAAAGGATTCTGACAAGTAATGGATGAGTTCGCAATCGATTAAACCAATAGTTTGAACACTTTGTGAGGAAGATCTGAACTGTCGCGCGATGAGCATCGTATGACTCCTCCATCCATGTCCTTGCCCCACGGGCCATCAAGCCCACATTCATCAAACGATGAGCCTAAACGGAAGAGGGTCAAGAAGGCACCTCAGGGACCACGATGTCAATTTTTCATAGAGCGCAAGAATCGGCAATGTCCGTTACAAGTGCCCGCGGGCAAGAATTGGTGTCGCCAACATGATCCAGATCAAAGTGAAAGAGTCAAATGCCCTCTAGACCCAACTCACAGCGTTGTTAAGATTCATTTGGCTGATCATTTACAAAGATGCAATAAGCGTTTTAAAGAAAAGCCATGGTTTAAGAAAGACTATCATTGGTTATCCTACAAAGAAGAAGCAAAAACGATCAACGGCAGGTCCGAAGCTGCAGATGGATATGAAAAGGAGTCAGAATTGGATGCATCTAACACCAGAAGCGGAGAGTGTGAACAGGAGACAATCCTGCAAGAATGCGATAAGGAATCTGATGATCTTTGCATTGCAACATCAACTGCAAATGCCGCACAAACTCAATTGATCAAGTATGTCGTATCTGTGTTGGATGGGATTACTTTTGAACCATTGAAAAAAAAGCACCTTCACCATAAAGGCCTTGAGCCTCGACTCAATCAGGTTACGAATCAGAAGCATGCTCTTCAACAGCTGAGCCTCATTGGATCGCTAAAGGAATATGATATGCTTTCGGAAAACAACTATTACGTTGAATTCGGGTGCGGTAAGGCTGAGTTCTCCAAGTATGTTGCAGATTGCATTACGCATGACAATCTGAATACGCTGATGGACAAGCTCGGATTTGGGTTGATCGACAGAGGTGTCAACAGACTCAAGACTGATGGTAAGCTTAAACAAATCACTCCACTGGTCAAACGAGATCGCATTGACATTAAGGACTTGGACCTTGAAAAATTCCTCGAGGGAGAACCGGCAACCCTGGTGGTTGCGATACTGAAGCACTTGTGTGGTGTAGCTACAGATTTGACTTTCAGATGCCTTCACACTATACAGAGTCGAGTAAAAGGAGCTGTAGTAGCTATGTGCTGTCGCCACGTGTGCAAGTATCATCAATTATCTCCTGAGGCACGTCAATTCTTAGCTCGACACCACATTAAGGCAGAGTCACATTTTAAAGCTCTTCAGAAAGTAGCACTGTGGGCCGTCGATGGAGGTAAAGACGTGGAGGTGGGATTGAAGGCCAGGCGGCTCATCGATGAGGCACGTGTACAGGGGGTGCGGCAGCAATTTGCGCAACACCACGTCGAACTCATCGAGTACGCCAGCCGTGAAACCACTCTTGAAAATTGTGCTATGTGTGTATATATTAAGCGTTGATAGGCATTTCTATTAAAGACTATTTAAATCTTCATTTCTTCGATACCGTGCTTCCAGACAACGACGAAAGGGGTGGTGCCGTCTTCTCTGTAGTTCAACAACACGACCATGGCGTCGGGGTCCATCGATTCACCAGTGAAGAATTCCCAGTCGTTGAACGAACCAATGACCTTCTTCACGTAGGCAGTGGCACCCTTTTCGAATTCTTCGACTTGTTCGGGGTGCTTTTCAGCCAAGTAAGCCTTGACCTTCTTCATGTAACCCTTGATGTAGGTGAGGTACGACTTCTTGTCAAATTGGGTAGGTTGCAATCTGAACGAGTGGACAACGTTGTTGACGGTTTCGACACCGTCTTCAACTTCTTCATCACCACCTTCGGCCGAAGCGTTGGCACCAATGTCGATGTTGTCACCACCGACTTGAACCATGGCACAGTCGGCTTCGTAGACGGCGTTGTCAATGAGCTTGGGCTCGTAAGCGTCAGACAAAAGTTCGTCGCCAGAAATAACGTCCTTGAAAATGATCATGTTGAAGGTTGTGTGTAACTGAAAATTTTCAGCTTTTCTTAAATGGTGCGGGCGGATTATATGCAGGAGAACCCACAAAATAGGGACAGGGCTTCTATACGAACTCATCGCAATGGGAAGCAAAGGTAGTACTGCAACGCATTTAGGAGGGATATGACAAAAGTATTAGTATCGATGGCGATCAATTCACTTCTTGGGCTATCTTCGATTGCTTCATAATTTGAGGCAGTTTGCGGTGTCCAAGATTTCACCGGTCACATGTTCTCACTCAATTCATCACAGCGATGAATGGAGTATTAGCTCGTATCATCAGCAAAACCGCCCCTCCCCATCCGCCACTATCAACAGTGTGCACTTTCCCAAAATTATCACAATCATATTTATCGGCAGGCTCAATATCGAACTTCGACGCAGCAAAATCGGTTACTCTGTTCCACCGCCAGTTGTATCCACTTCGATCATGTACATCCCCCATAATTGCCCCTGAAGTGGGGCAGAACAAGGGCATTGACTATGTATCCAACTACTGCAAATATCTCAGCGTGAATCACAATCGAATTTTCGAGTCGTTTGCCTCGATGGATGCGGCCACTCGTCAGGGGCTTCCTGATCAACTGTTGCACGACTTAGTAGATCGATTTCTCATGGGGAAACGTGATTTTGTTGTGGCTAATGGTGTTACAGAATCTCTGAAGGTAGTCAATCGCTACAGTTATTTTGAAATGATACAATACCGCCGAGAGTATCTTGAAATGCTCAATCAAATTCTTGATGAATATCAAGCTCGAGGACACCGTTTATCCAATGCTCAGCAAGCTAAGTATTTATTCTTCACCTTTTTCCGAGATACTAAGCTAATTACGAAATGGTTTACTGAAGACGAATTGGTGTATCCACGATTCGGTAAGCAAACATGGGAATCAATATTAAGCTCAATCAGTGATCAGAGTAAGGAAGATCAGGCATCTATTCGTGCAGTGCTTTTGCTCCATGCATTTCGCCACAATCGACCTCAGGATGAAATTGCTCAACTCGCCACCAGTGGGAATGCTAATTTGGACTTGGTGAAGGTGATGGTCAATGAATGTGAGGATGAAACGTACGTCGAAAGCTTGCTTTCGGAGTGGATCCCAGAACTTGATGTTGTTGATATGAATTTGGTGAACGCAGTTTTACAACGATGTCAACCAGAAGATGTTGTTGCGGCTGTGTCTGCATTACTACCTGACGAGATTCCTGATTTCGGCAGCGACGAGTTATATCTGGTTCAACTACAATACACCTTCGAGGACTCTTCTCTCTATTCCGAACTTGTGGCCCTGGCTAATGAGCAATTTTCACTTGTTGCTACTGATAAAACATATCGCATGTGGCTCCAAGCTCTTTTAGCTCAAAATTGCAAATTTCAGGCCATTGAATCGGTACTCAAGATAATGAGAAGCTTCGGCGTTTTACCCTCGACGAAGACTTGGCTTTTGTTGTTTCGCCACAAGCATTGGTCGATTGAAGAGTACAGTTACTTGGTGGAGTACTTCGTAAGTGTTCACAATCAAATGAACGCAAAACGCTTAGACACAAACCATGCGGATGCATTTGATTCTAACAGTATTTCCCCTCAACTCATGGAAATGGTAAACAAAGCGTGCTCCTATCCGATGGACCATTTACCACTTGCAAGAGCCAAGATAATCAAGTTGACAGATGAACTCTTGGATGAGATCATTGATGGGTTTCTAGAATTGAACAAGACTAAATCCACTTTGAAATGGTATGAGCATGAGCGTGATGAAATGCAAAGGGAACTCTCTCAGTACCGTGGCCCTCTGGCAAAAATTTATCGAGAAGGATCTAAGCAAACACAGGCTCACGTTGACGAAATTGAGGAATTGAAGAAAGTGTGGTTATTGAAGTTATCTACAGGGCCGTATTTCGAATAAAAAGCAAATGTGTTGATCCGCAAGACGAATCAAAATCAAAATGTCAAGGTGAAGGAATCGAATCGTTACTAGCTTTGTGCGGTCTGTTAATGTGGGATGGATACATCATATTATACAAGTCACCCACTTCATGGGGACACCAGTGGCTTTCGTTCTTCTATTGTATCTTCATACTCTTGACTGGCTCGCGGGCTCTGACGATGTCTGTGAGCACGATTTTCCTCTTCCTCCTCCCGAGCAATTGCAGCAGGCTCTACGAGATTGAATTTGAACCACGTGGCGGTTGGAGTTTGGAATACCAGCTCCCATATAAAGACGAAGCCTAACATAACCAGAGTCATTCCCATCAATAACGTCACATCCATTTCAGCGAAAGGTAACATGGCGATGCCAACACCCACAGGGAGCCTCCAACCAATCCTAGCCCAACGTGGGAGAACAAACGTGCATTTCTCGTCTTCATCTTTAAAGAGCATACCAAGGACCCACATAGAAAGCAAAGAGACACCAATGCCACCTGCAAAATAGAACAGTAAACCGAACATGTTGTGTGATTCCTCTTCACCTGCTGAAGCTGCTTGGACTACACTGCGCTTCAATAATACAAGAGCTTCCGAGCCGGCGCTTTGATGTTCATCATGGGTAAGTCCAGTGGCGCCACGCTTTGTACTGCCATTTTCAACTTTGATGAGATCGCCCAGTGCATCAGCAGACAAGACAATGGCGGCAATCAAAGGAAGGTGAGAATATATAAATAGACATGCGGTGGTAGCACTTCGACGTAATGGATGAACTCTCCGTTGAATGGTACTTCCATAGTTGTAGATCCAGAACAATATGTAAGCAATCAAAAGCATGAAAACGCCACGCGCAAGTCTGATATTAAATCCGGCACCAATAGGAGCAGTAGCCACAGCCTTATAAGGGTATTCTCCAATTGCAACGGTTACAAAGGCCGAAAACCGCTCGATTTCATGCTCCAAGTTCAATGCTGTCAGCATTGTAAGCTTAAAGGTCCGCTTTATCATTGGAGAATAAGCATAGATAAAAGATGCATTTTCAAGTGCAAAAATGGCAATCAGAACCCCAACTTTTGCTCGATTTCCCACAAATATAACAATAATCCATAAACAGCTAGTGACATAAATACTCAAAGCGTAAAATCTCATTTGGAGTCGATGTTGAGGAATCCAACACGAATAGAATAAGTATAGAGTTGCAAGCAGTACGCGTGCTATCATGTAAGGTACAATTGTTAAAGCCGCACCTTGAAGCAGCTCTGGAGCTTTTGAGTGAGAGTTGGCGTAAAACATCAATAAAACAATGATGAAAAACACATACAACTTTTGTGTAAAGTCTTCATTGTAGTAGTAGTTCACCCCGTCTTTGATGTCACACCACACCTGCCATATAGGCATAAAGTACAAAAAGTACTTTAGTAGAGACAAACCGGTTGACTCTTTAGCAGCCTCACCAGCCAAATTAGTAATGAGCCCAACATACAACAAATCCACAAAAAGCTCGAGAGTTGAGCTGGAGCGTTCGCCTTTGGTGCGATGGAGTACACCATCCTTGAAATAATTAAGGGCATGGGGTCTGATGAACCAAAAGTTTTGGGGTGGACGACTTATGTATCGAAATGAAATCTTCCCGTGCTTTTGGACCAACAGGTCATCGTCACGTTGTGAGTCAATCACCTCTGGTTCGTAATCCCAGTTTATCGGCATTGTAAGTTAACAAGTCGTCATCGGTATGCTTTACTTAAGGATGATAAGCCGTGCTTCCAAGAGTGCATATAAACAAGGTTGCCATTATCAAAATTTGCATATGGTTTTGTCATAATGAAATTTACATGTAACGACTATGCCGCAATTATATTTTAAAATGACATAATTCCGCGATCACAATCTAAGCATGGAAGCTTTTTGGCTTACGCAACAAGTCCTCGCTCTCTGGCGAAGTGCCATACTGAAAGTTGCAAGAGTTCAAAAATCAAGCTTTTCCTGTTACATGGAGAACCTTTAGGATTTCACAATTGTATTGCAGAGAAGATTATATGCTTCGCAGTTAATCGCAAATGGCGACCCAAATGCATCTATGCGCAAGTTGTCGGGATCGCAGTTTGGGTTAGGCACGGATTGGGTTCGCCTGCAAGTGACCCTCGAAAATTGTTCGCAAAAAGGCTATTGAGAATGAAATCCTTCCGCTATTCGCCTCCGAAAGTGTGAATGTCGTGGTAACTGCAATTAAATCATTTGTTGAAAATTATTTTTCATTATGATGATTTTATAATTACAACCGAGTATAAGCTGGCAGGCTTTGGCAAATTGGCCTTTATTATACTTACAGGTCAACTCGTTCCACCAACATATAAACTATGTCACAAGTATGAGTCTGTCTCTTTGATCTCGTTGCAATCAAGTTGTTTCTTTCCCTATATTAATGTTCACGCATAAACCTACGCTTTGGTTTTGTGTTTCACCCGTGACTCCGCGACGGCTTAAATTTCGAACGAGCAAAAATGGTTCCCCAGCTTGACACTACTCTTTGACGACTTATGTTAATTTTACTTTTCTTTTTGATGTCTCTTCGGGTGTGTTGATGCTACCTCAAATCGTACAATGAAAGAAGAGGCGGCTGTAGCAACAAAAAGATAGGCGTAATTACAGCCCGATGCGGGGCTCGAACCCGCAGCCTTGAGATTAAGAGTCTCACGCTCTACCGATTGAGCTAACCAGGCAATACAGTTTTTTTGCGTTTTGTGCTAACTTGTAACGATATAGCCCTCGTGATGTACGGCTCATTTCAATAACTTTAGGAATTTATTTCAAAAAAAAGTTCTTGAAAGACTTTTTACTAGCAGATGTGCCCGATCAACCGACAATGCTAGATTTATTTCACTCTAGTGAAGACTATGAGTAAACAGATGATGGTTAGAGAGGACTACAGAAATGTTCATAACGAGTGAATGGGTTCTCAAATAAGTACCAAAGATAAAGAAAGACTTATGAATTTTTTCAAGGCGCTTCTAAGAGTACACCAAAGAGTACTATACTTGAAACACTAACATTGAAGGAAAAAGAAGCACAATTGTAATAATTCGTGAATATCACCTGTGATCGGGTATTTGCAAGCTCATTTCGTGAAACTGAGCCCACAAAACCGAGAAAATGTTGTTAAACAATTATGCGCTTTCCTCCTTGCATATTTGTCCCACGGTCTGGATATAGACCTCAAGAATCTTCCATGGGAAATCTCATAGTTTTACAGATGCATTGAACAGCTCTGAGATCCTTCCCAAATTGAAACTTATTCGAAATGAGCTGTACTTGTGTTGGCGTTCTTTGATTGCGAGTACATGATTGCAATTTGAAAAATGGTCAAACTGTGCTATTCGAATATACAACAAACCGAGGTTTTTGACACACATGCTTCACCAGTCAACCACGAAACCAATGAGCTATTTCAAATGGTGATCTCAATAGTCAATAATTCGAGCACCAATGGTGTTACCTGACTAGGGATCAGCGTAACTTTCTTCGGGCTCACCAACCAGTTTATACGTCCTAACTGATGTACGACTGGATTATAATGCGGAAGAAAGCTTAAGCTCAATTAAGCATAAGGTTAGTTCTCCAATCTTTGATAACATGAACCCAGTCATCATGGGCTTCGTGGTGGCTACGTCGTCTCCACACTTCTAACATAATTTGCCGTGCCCCCCAATAACTCCCCAAGTACTGAGCAATGTCGGCCCCCCATTGTTTGAAGCCTTGTTGAAGCTCCGACAGTGTGGCTTCGCATCCAGCAATGAAACCTTGCCAAAAAAGAGGAATGATCCGTGCTGTTCCCTTTTGGATTAGGCGAATGATTGCATTGAGATGGTTTAATGTATGACGTACAGCTGGCTGGACCCTCTCTATAGGGGTATCAAGGATGAATCGATCAAAATAGATGGTGAGCGCGTAATGAAACAGAACGATATGGTGGTATGTTGCTTCTTGCATACCGCCGTCTTCTGTATTTAGTTGCCACTCGAGTGACCATTCGTCCAATTGGAGACGAAGAGAGTTGGCCTCACTAACGGGCACAGTTCCTTCGTAAATTCTTGTGCGCACCATGTCAACTGTAGCTGCAAATAAGCGAATTAGACTATTGGGCAAGCCATAAAGAGCATCAGTTGCGAAGTTCTCATCTTTCTTCTTGGTATTATTAAGCTTTTGGTCAACGAATTCTGGAGTGAGGGTTGTCGAAGTATGCTCTGCATTTTCTCTAAATCCCATTCCCCAATTAGCGTGAATTTGTTTTGGATCTAGACAAGTCAGATCCTGAATGAGCTTCAAGGAGCTAAAAATACGATGGAGAACTCTCGCTTTACTCAGAAGTTTGCGCTTGTGTTTCATCTTTGCCCTTATGACTTCACCACAAAATTCGATGTAATAATGAGTACCCTGCATAGTCCCCCATACCAAGTCCACCAGAATCATCAGCATAATGGCACAAAGAACATCTTTGTATTTTTCTTTGCTGACACAATGACTAATACTAAGTTGGTTTATGAAGTACAGGGCTTGAGACCGAAGACGACCACCCAACTTGAGGTAAAATGTCTTCAGGTCCAGCTTTGAAGGAAACTTCAGTTGTAAATTGAATGCCAGGACGGCCAAAAGTGCATATAGCAATGCATTTTTGGCTGTCAGAGTATGACCTAGACCAGAGAGTTCACCCAAGGCTGCGAGAGCTCTGGGGAAGTAAATCGTTTTCCATGGATTTTCCGTCAATGGGATCACGGTCATGAGATCTGCTACTTCAGTGATGTAGTAATTAAGCAAGTAGCGAGTCAATGGTTGAACTTTGAGTGCGGTGGTTGGAACAGTATTTTGTAGAGCAGGTACCGACAGCCCTGGGGTGTCCACTATCTGTAAAATTGAAGATACTCCCTGGTCATCTTGTGGATACAACTGAATATCAAGCAGAGGCAGACTTGTATCTACCGCTAATTGTGGCTGACTATGAGATGGAGTGGTGTCTTCCACGGGTACCGGCTGGTTCCGAAACACAAGACTGTAGAAGTCGAAATCACCATCATCAAAGCGAAACTCGTCATTTAATAAGTTATCAAGATACTGATCATTACCCATGGCGGCAGCAGTGATGTAAGCACCCTGAAGAAGCTCTTGGGCGATCCATATGTCATGTCCACTGTGCTGAAGATTGTCGGTTGGAGTAGCAAGCTTTTGAGGGGAATCTATTTCATGCTTAGAGTTGATCGCTTCAGACGACGTATTTGAATTTGTCAGCTGCCCCAGAAACACGCCAAAGGGTCCCAAGCATTTGGTGACACCGCTTTTCAAAACTGGGTCCAGCCCCGAGTGATGCAATATCGCCAAATCCTTATCCATATCCTCGTAAGTTGCATAAGGATCACTCCACTCCACTGAATCGACCTTCCGACGTTGGTGGTCTCGATCCTTGTCTTCAAAGGCAACCAGCTTCTGCGACACTGACGCCCCGTGATGGCGAAATTCGAGAGGAGCCAGCCATCGCAACTTGATTCCGTAACCTTCACATTCGATGCCCATCCGCAGACATCTTCGACACAGCGGCCTTCGCAAGTCGCACCGGATCTTCCGTGTTCGACATGTGAAGCATCCAGTGAACGTCTTGTTGCGTTGCACCATTCGCACCCACCCGGAGCCAAAAGATTTATTCGGGCTGCGACTGTTAAGCACTCAGACTGGATGGTTAACACAAAATTTCCAAATATTGAATTTGAGGTTTCGAGAACACATAAATTATCATGTCTACGGTGATTTTGCGAGTCAAGATGCAAGTTTGATTCTCAACCTATTAGTTTCGATTGGCCATCATTCTTTCCTCCAAATTTCCTTCCAACTTATGTTTCTTGTAAGAGTAGCTATCACATTGCATTTATCAGAATCATGAATGCTGCTACAGCTTGCCGTTTGCTATGGCTTGCGCTTTACGTGACTTGTATGTTCGTCGATTCGAAGACCGAATTTCAGAGATCAACATCAAGATCAATGAAGAAGAGAGAAACCCTTCAGTTATATGAAGTTGGTCACGTGACTATCAGGGACTTTGATATTCACGATCCCTGGTGCACAAAACCCGAGGGATTGGAGTTCTCTAGGAATTCCACATGTGTCGAAGTCGAGATGTGGATTAAATGAGGTGGCGTGAGATACATACGTTGACATTGTTAGCACAGCACTAGTGGCTTGATTGTAAACTAGATAGTGGTACAAGCCATCATCTCATACGACCCCGTTCAGGGATTTGCTCCTATACTACTGACGTTAAGGACAAGCGAAAGTGTATTTGATGCCGTAATTAATCCTGATTCGCCCTACGTTGAAAAGCGACATATGGTTCAGTCGACGATTTTACGGAACCAGCCATGAAGTTATGTCCACGCAGGTTGGTTGCTCTATTAAATTTTCTGTGAGGTTCGGTATCATACTTGTGAAGTTCTTATCCTTTGAAAACTGCTGTAGTATTGCTTAAGGAATTGATACGTTTATGAAAGCAGCCAACTATCAATACTCGTGTTGATCATGACGGATTGTTATCACTGAACGTTTTCCTGCAATGCAAACGATTGTAGCGTGCAGTCACCTTTGTAACGCAATAAATTGGATAGTTTTTCCAACTTAAAACCTAATTTAAAGCCGCTGTGCATCTCAAAGTTAGAGACAAGGACGAGCCACTTCCCGTCTATTGGGCGAATACGAAGATCTTGTATGCTGAAGCTAAAGCGACTGATACTTAATGCACACATTACATAAGATTCAGGCCTCTCTGTTATCAGGTCAATTGTCGAAATCATCGAATTGTCGGAAGCTGCAGAAAACTCAATACAAATTCTTGAAAGAGCGGTCGTTATCTCCCACTTTTAACTGAAATGAACACAGAGTCAATTTCAAAATTTAGCCGCGTTACAGTCATCGAAATCAGAGATCATGATCATCACGATGAACCAATGGCATACGAACAACAAACTGAGAGCTGAACAAGAATCACAATTACGTCTATGTTTCCAATCTCAAGTTATAACGGACACAAGAATGTGCTTTGAAATGTCAACCAAATTGAGTTAGTTGATCTTTATTGAGAGTGAAGCTGAATTCTGTCGCGCGCTTGGTAAACGGTCTCGCCACTTTGATTTCCATCATAGAGGTGTTTGTGAGTTTAGGTTACGTAAGCGGGATCGCAAAGTAAGGTGAATGGCAATAGATCAACCCTCTCTCTCCAGTTACAGCAAAATACTCGTCAAAGTCATTGACGTGATAGATTGAAAATTGTACCTGAAATTCCCGTCGTCGTAGTTTATGACCGCCAGACAGCATAAGGGCTACATACTCCAGTTCACCACTTTGTCATTCACCTAGCCTGATGATGTCACCAAGGGCACAACCTTTTAACTCTTAACCGAAAAAAAAGGCTAGGTATTAGCGGATAAATTTTACTCCTAGAAGTTGACTAATTCTCAAATGGGAGTAATATGGATTTTACTACTAAGCACGGCGAGATTGGTATACAAGCATAGTATCCAAGTCCACAGACTTCTACGTATGTTATCAAAAATCTAAGGCAACAACTCACTCCCCATACAAAAATAATAGTAATAGAAATAAAGAAACTTCAACTACATTCGAATACCATCCTACGTTTTTTGTTAACTTCACTCATTGCTTTGATTTAGCCCAAGAGATAGGAAGTCGCTCGCCAAGCAAAGGCTTACAAACCAAAAGAAATTTAACCATCTTCTTTTAAAGTAGAAAGTTGTTTGCAGCAATTTAAATATTCATGTCCTCTGCTTCTTAATTCCAAATCTTTGATGAAGGAACATGCAACGAGTACGGGCCAGCGCATTGCTATGGGAGCTCTGACCAATGGTCCCAAAGAGCTTTCGACGGCGGTGTTGATATTATCAACTAGTTGAATTATTTGACTTAGTATCTGCTGTACTTGGGGCAGCGTCCACGCTACGCCATATATTGTAACAAGCAGCCATGCTATGAATGCGTGAGTATGAGTTTGATGGGAGATGTCCATCCACGAAACAAATGAGCCATTCACTGTAGACCCCCAAGGACTTTCAACGAAGCCAACGTCTTGAGGGGATGGACAGAACAAGTGATTAAGTTCATTTGCGTACCCCGACATAAGAGTTAGTCCTTTTCGATAGTCTATGCGGTTTGTGCCTTTAACAAAGAAGTCCAAGAATCCCTCATGCAAGTGTATAACCGCTTGACTTGTTCCAGTTAGTAGATTAAACCCTGAGGTCAATAATAAACCCCATTCCTCAAGTACCGCTTTCTCTTTCGGGCAACAAGAAGCGCCTATTACTGATAGTGCTCCCAGTAATGGAGGTTGAGCCAGAGTTGCATCAAATGTGAATAACAACCACTTGCATAAAACAGAAACTTTCAGCTGTTCAACAGTCGAGGACTTCAGGACAAAACGTGCAACTGAGGTCAAAGAGTTTTGCCAGTTTATTTCACTTGGATACAAATGAGTAGCAGCCAGTGCCAAAAACACCAGTGCCACAATTAGCAGCTCTAAATCTCTCATGGATTGAATTGATTCAAGTTGAGACTTCGCCAAAGAGCTAACAGTGGCCAAGTAGTTGGCGCTGAGATCTTCCTTACCCTTTAATTTTGAACCAACTGCCAATGTAGCTGCCAAAACTATTGGGTAAGCTCCCAGAAAAGTGACGATGGTGTCCCGCACAGGATTTGAATAGCTATGCCCGTTCCATCGAGGAAGCGGAAGAAGGCAAGGACAGAAGGTCGAGTATGCCTCATAATAGTAACTTGATTCTTCTGGTGGAAGTTTAACGTAATCGGAATTGACATTCACCGTAGTGATATCGGAAGGTACCGGTTGTACTTGGGATATCAGTACCAGTAAGGTAGGTAGTCGTGATCCCATGAGGTCAGCTAGTTGGGCTAGGCCGTCCGCTATAGACGAAACATCGAGTGTATTAAACGGAGCAGGGTGATTGAGAATTCTCAGTAACAGTGCCAGCGGAAACTCAGATGACGTCGTAATTGATGTTGGTGTACTCAGAAGCAGAGAACATGGGGGTGGGGTGGTTGACTGTGTCATTGTTACGTCCTCTGCCAGAGCTGACTCAGTTGGTGGCTTATAGTGTCGGATACTCAACGTTTGCTTGTATAAGCCCATTTGTTGAAGTTCTCTGGTCAGCATGCGAAGCACAGTTTCTCCTGGAACTGGGTACAGACATTCTTTGGCCATTCGAAGACATCGAAGACAAGCGGGCTTGGTTTCATCGCATTTTATTTTGCGACGTTTGCATTCGCGACACCCACCCTTAGAATAGTTTCGACGCTGGCGTGGTGGGTCCATTCTGTGGCAAAAATGGGCCCGTTTTGCCACGCCAATCTGATTGCAAGAATTTCGTTAACGACCGTTGCGGTTAGCTTTGATTTCTATAACTCCGACCGTGATTCCAATTAAGGTATTTTGCCAGGGAAATAATATTTAGGCAATGCGATGCATCATGCATTACCGCTCGACCGAGGTGGAGCAGCCCTTAACTGTATGTAACATGTAAACTGCACTACCGCGAGCGTGCACGGGGTCCTCGCCACAGTCAGAAAAATATTGGCAATGCATAGAACCTAAGACACAACACAGATTCCCTCTTACCGTTCATCCCTTGCGGCGTGTGGACTGGGTACAACAGGATGTCGGCTCCTTTCAATAGAAATCCATACAACAATCCCACTATTGATGATGCCACAATATGCTGGAATCATCTCGAATGGGCATATTTGGGTACTAGACTTAAAGAATTAGAAGCCGCGTGTCAGCCCCCCTTAGTAACCTGATGGCAGCAACAGAGTGCACTTTGTTGCTGGATACGACAGCTGGTCAAACCGTTGATGTCAAAGTAATTATTGGATATAGTATAAAGGAATTTGAAGGAGATTTGACATAACCAACTGACTCACGTCTGCCACGTATCGAGTAAATGCTCGTCAAGTAATGACTCGATGGAATTGCAAGGTCTTTCACGTCGATTTCGAATACAACTTTGAATAAGCTTTCATACGAGCCCCCTGCCGACAATATGCGTCAATTCAAGTGCTCACAATGAACAGCGGTCACAGATCGTTTACTACCAGCGTCGTCATCTAAGATTACCGGAAGCGTTCAGTTGCAGGAAATTGTGGGCTAGACCGAAACCTGCCAAAAACGAAGACGCGATTGCAATATGGTAGGCTAGTTATCTTTTTTTTCACCAAGATTCTTTGCGGATCAGATTAGACGAGCCTCCGCCTTAAGCGGTCAGATGATTATGATAGAGAAAGGTAGCGAAGCCACACATATTCGAGTATTGATATCCGAAAGGTTGATTTGACCATTATTCCGATACCAAGGAATGGTCGCTTTAACCCAAATATATCGACGAGGCTTATCTGTTATTGTTGCCTGATCTCCACGCGTTGATATGTACGACCCCACAACGGCTAATATAACTCTAGGCCGGTGTTAGAAAGGGTGTGTCAACAAAATGACTTTGTTAATCTGAACTTGGTGGCTTAATACGCCAAAACATCAATCACATCGCCGCTTATGGTCAATCCTTGTCTTCGTCGGTCCCATATTTCAAGCAATCTTTTTCTGATCTTCTCAGCCAGAAATGACCCCAACGTCTGAGCATAGGTAAAGTATTTGAGCAACAACATTTGGTGATCCTCGTCATCACTACAAAGACCTGCAACGATCATTGGCCACTGAATCATCAGCAACAGGTAGCGGTGATATTGACTCGGACAATCATCATTGAACCGTGAGAGCCAGCCGATTAAGCTTACTAACTTAGCTACAAGCAGCTGGATGTAAGGCATGTCGTAAGGTAGGCTGAGTATCCAAGTATGAACTGCAATGATAGCCGCAAGAGAGTATGCTTGTTGACTGATATCCATCCACAGGACCACCACAGTGACATCATCTCCTTCTAAATTGTGACCCCGTACTAAGTCCACCAAGTTTGGTGGCGGACCAATGTACGTCAGTACAAACAGAGCTGGAAGCAATCCCTCATGGCTGACGTATGCAGTGTGGTAAAATTTATTGAAAGCGGCGATGAAGTTGATATATGCAAGCAGGTCATTGGCAATGTACTCGGCACCTTCGTGTTTGCGTCTGTTTAGCATTTTCAAAAACTCCTTGAACCATTCAATGGCTTCAAAGTGGTATCCTGATATGACATTAAAGCCATTTTCTTGGATTATTCCCAACTCTCTCAATATTTTGATCTCATACGAGTTTGAGAACAGAAGTACTGAGTCAAGTTCGAAATCTGTGGACAACGTCCCACCCAATGCCAGCAGAGTCCCTGCCAATATTTCAAAATCGACGAACCACATTTTGCACAAAATCAAGGTTTTCAGTTGCCGAATTTTCAGATTGGTGGCTTTTATTATGATATCCTTGGCGCCTTTCAAGTGCGGCCGCCAATTTTGACGATGCAGCAGAGCATTAGCCAGCGCCAATAAAAGCACTGTAAGCAATATCAGCTCTAGGTTTTCGAGCATGTCGTGACGAACGCTGTGTTCCTGATTCAGAACTAGCGCTGGTCCTAGGAGTTTGAGACACTGACTCAAGTATTTCCACGATGCATCTCTAGCGGCTTCAATCAAATCATTCGCACCTTGTGCCTTTTCCAACTCTTCAAATTCGCATTTGGCCCCGAGTGCAAGGATTGCCAGAAGTAGATAAGCCTCTCGAAATCCGTATCGCAAGAGGCAGTCTCGCAAAGGGTTGCCGTAACCACCGTTAACTGGATCAAATACTCCGAAGGGGCAAATTTGCATGGCAAACTCTTGATAAAAGAATCTCATGTACTTCCGTTCCACATCCAGAGCTAGAGGGGACATGTACTCGCTAGGAACTCCGTCTATAATTGATGATTGCACCGATGGTAATGTCAGTTGGTGAGGAAGTTCCCATAACGACGCAATCTCATCAATGGAAACAATGTCTTGTGGTATCAAGTCCAGAACCATGCAATTGACGTCAGTGACCAACAGCTGAAGGTCGTCCTGAGAGAATAGGAGCGACGGTGAAAGTTCTGATAAAACTTGCGGTGAAATTGTCGGTTCAGGTTTTAAATCAATACTGTTATTGCGTGCATGGCTATCTCGACTTTCAATGGTTTCATCTCCTCGATAGTTTTCAGAATTGGGCGGAGTTTTCTGCGTTTTATTCACTTCGGGATTATAGTAGTGGATATTGATGTTGCTTTTTGATTCATCAATAGGATTCTCACTCATGTACTGCTTCAGGACTCTTAATACTGTCTCCCCCGGTGTCGGGTAGCTGCACTGCTTGGATAACCGCATACACTTGAGACAGTGGGGTTTCGTCTCATCACACTTGATCTTGCGGCGTTTGCATTCCCGGCAACCTCCTCGAGAGTACTCCCGCTTTGAACGGGCCATCTGGATGATGTCTTTGCTCAAGGGTACCGTCAATCGAGATTTTTGTGTTGAACGTCGGCAGCTTGTTGGATGTCTTGCCGCACGCACCGCTTTTGGTAAGCCGCTAAGAAGCGCCTATCCGAGTGGGGTAACTCATATCTCTACGATACCATACATAATCCCCTTTCATATGATGAGGAGCTGCAACGCCAATGCAATTCGCCAAACTTAAAAATGTGGGATGGTGCTTTCGATGTGTAGTTACATCGAAGAGGCCTTGGTTCAATACAATTTTGTGTAGAGGAAGCCCCCATTGTGATGTACCTAGTTTAGATCGTTAATCCGATATTACATTATGGACATCCCCAAATAGTTCTGATCTCTTCAGTCCACAAAACTTTCCATACAATTGCGAGGCAGTCAACATCCGACAATTTGAAACGAAACACTTCCATGGCATTGACCCCGAAGCTTTACCACAAATGACTGTTGTTCTAGTAAGTCGTATATTATATTACATCGTTATTCGTGAAAGGCTCGGCGGAAAAACTCCAAGATTCTCCGATAAATGATCAAGTTGGCATTGTTATAACGAATACCATGATCGCTGTCGGGGAATACAAGTAGGTCAAAATTGTCAACCTCTTCTAAATTAAATTGGTCTAAAAGGGCATAAGTGTTCTGAATGTGAACATTATCGTCACCAGTACCGTGAGCAACCATAAACCGTTTTGCACCTTTGAAATTTGAAACGTTTTGAATCAGTGCAGTAGCATATCCATCAGAATTTTCCTGCGGGAGGCCCATAAACTGCTCTGTATACACGGTATCATAGAACATCCACAGTGTTACAGGAGCCACCGCCACACCATACAGAAATACGTGATTCACATCAGTCTCAAGACACTTAAGAGTCAAGAATCCTCCAAAGGACCACCCCCAAATCGCAATATTGGAGCGATCGACGAACGGATTCTTCTTTGCGTACACTTCTGCTGCCAGGATTTGATCCATCGGCTCATAGTGACCAAGTTGGCCTTTGACATTATAGGTGAAATTAGATCCGATGTTGTTCAAATTGTTGAAACCAGTGCCACGTCCATCAACGACAATAACAATTGCGTCTAATTGCAGCGCCATTACCATACTAAAGTCAACACCAAATGTTTGCAGAACCAGCTGAGAGTAAGGTCCACCATAAGGAGCAAGTACCAATGGGTACCGTTTGTGGGAGTCAAAATTTGGAGGTAGATACTCCTTCACAAACACTTTGAGACTTTTACCCAGCTCCGCATCGGGAATGTCAAGTGGGAATACCGACACCTTGGGTAATGACACCTCGCGTAGTTTTTGTTTAAGGGCATCGTTGGTTTCTAACTCTGCCACAATTTGGCCATTACGCAAATCAATTATCTCTTGGTGTGGAATATTTGGGCCGGTATATGTTTGAAACAAGTAACGGCCACCCAGGGATAAGCTTCCTCGATAATATCCCTCCTTGGTAAGATCATAAATCTTCGGTCGCTTGGCTTGGGTACCGAGAAGACTCACTTTAGACAACTTGCGACTTGTTCCACCACCGCGAGTCAGCTGAAAGTACACATAGTTGAGTCCCAAATCGAGTCCCAAAATCTCTGTAACCTCCCACGCTCCTGACGTCAAAAGAAATGGCTCCCTGTCTGGAGCAAAATATGCCAAATGCTTCCAGCCATCGTGATATAGGTAATCCAAAAAGCCATGACGCTCGCGATGATTAGTCGCATTAGATGGAATCCATCTGGCAGTCAGCACAAGTTGAAACCATCCGGTAGTTTCAAAACGATGTATCATGTCATCATTGAAATAGTACTCCGCGATTGTCAGGTTTCTGTTCACCACCTTGGTGAGAAGAGCTTCATCAACCCAACATACATCAACAACCACGTGATCAGTGATTTCCAGGTTGGTCCAAGTGACGTTCTCTAATTTTGAAGTAGAGATGTCGAATACAATCACTGACACCGTGGGATTTCGCGCGCCGGCTTTGGGGTATTTAAGATAATTTACCTTGGGGTAGGCCTCAACTTTGCCTTTTTGACGCTCGACGAATAACTCCAACGGATAAATCGGCACCTTAGTATCATCAGAACGAACGAATGCAAGCTTTTGTGAGTTCGGTGCCCACCACATGGCCACATCTGACGACCAAACTTCCTCCTCATACACCCAATCTGGTTTCCCATTGAATATCTGGGCACCGCCGTCATGAGTGACTCTTTTAGATTTATCTGCCTCAACATCATGAAGATGAATATCGTTATTTTTGACATACGCAACGTGTTTCAGGTCAGGCAGCCACAAGCAAACGCTTATGCCAGATCCCAATGATGCATAGCGGCGATCCTTTATATTGTAAAGCCAATAAGTCGCCCAGCTAGAGTGACGCCATTGCTTTTCCGAATTCGTCTTGAGTAAAGCCCACTCCAAGTTAGGCAGTGCGATTAGTTCGTCGATGGTATACTTTTTGCCATCTAACTCAAACCCATCACCAGGAAATAACTCAGTACGGTCCTCCAGACCAACACGTGCCAAATAAAACCCATTATCCCGAATGACATAAGCACCCGAGTCTTCAATGTGTGAATATGGGGTTGTTATCCACTGGACCTGGGTAAGCTCAGGTTTAAACGAGCCATCTATCCAGCCGCTAAGGTTGAGCCGCCCAGCATCTAGCTGTGGAAGCGTATCCGAGGACTTAATAGAATTCTCACTCGGTTGGACAAACATCGGAGTTGCCAGCGAGACCAAAACCGTAACAGCATGGTAGCAAAAGAGCCCTAAGGAAAAGTAAACAGCATATGGAATATATGTTCGCCTCCGCTCTCGAGGTTTTTCGAGTGGCAACATAATTTAGGACGTATGTTTGGTATATCAATTATGCCGACGAGGCTGGTTGAGACCTGCGACATTAAGTCGTGCGAAAGCAAATGCATGCGACTGCATAAAATACAGCCCGACTTGAACCAGCATCGCTATGTTTGGCTTTGATTCGTTTCAAACGGATCTAACGTTTATGAAAATCGTCAAAAGAATTGAGAATTTGTTCACGAACGATGGCTATTTGAGCAGGCGATACTAGTTTAAGATTCTGCCTTTGGTTCGGCTTCTGCGGCTAGATAGCGTTCGTGAGTGTTAATGATGGGGGTTCTTTCGAGTGTTCGAGCCTCTATGTCAGTATACTTATGCCAACGGGGTTTCAAAAGGCTTCCTTGATATCCTTAAGGAAACACTACCGTAATTCCACTTCAACGTTGAAACCTTGCAAACAACGCTGACGTAAGTTTGCAAAGATTTTCAAGTAGATGTCGACATAGTTTTATCTATTACTACAACTCTTGTAAACCGCGAATGACATCGGCGTGCTTTTCATCCTCCACGCGCTTTTCACTTACGTCGCCAACTGAACGCAAGTCCCGCAACAAAACGTCCTTCAACTTGTCAAAGTATACGTCTTGTAACAAATTGCGAATGTTCCCTTCTTGCTTTTCGACTAATTGACCCAAATTTACTAAGTGGGCTAAACTCTTCAGTGGAGCTTGCTCCAAATCGAGAGGTAAGCTAGCCTCCAATTGGCGGGTCATATTTCCACTTAACAGTAAATCATGTTCAGATCCCAAATCCAAGATTACCGTCAGCGTGATGCGATACTTGGCTTGTGTGTCCAGAACATTCGTAACTTCAACAACGTGAATCAGATCCCACAGTCCTCCCTCATTTTCTTTCTTAAAGAGCACCACGCCAGCGAAGTCATCATCATCAGTGTCCCATAAGTACACCAGAGAGACCCCTTCGCCGTCGTAATACAAATCACGATAAATATCGAAAGATTCGTTGGCCGCTATCTCGAGTTCCCGAAGCTTCTCCAGCGGACGAGGGCCATCATCGTCTTCCGGCAACGGATAAAACTGGTTCGACCAAGGAGAACGGTACAGGTCGCCATCTCGATTGTAATCACACAACAAGTAAGATTTCCCCAGCTCGTTGCACTTGGCTTTTTTGAGCGGCACGTCCACAGTTCCTAAGAGATCCTCAACAAGCTCATCGTCACCGGCGACAAGTTGGCAAAGGCTCTCAAGGTTACGCTCAACGTTGCGTGGGTGTAATCGACGGAGGAGGTCAAGGCAAGCGTCGTTCTTGTCCATTATCTAGTGTCGGACGTTTGTGGTGAGGGTGCGAATCAGAGCTACGCAATCATAGCGATTGAGTGACAACACTGTATCAATAAGCAAACTACTGAAGTCAATCTTCGTTGTTTGTGGCAACTAGTGAAGAGATTTCGTGTAATTGAAAGTCCGCTGGAGATTTCAACTACCCCTAAATAAGTATGTTCGAAATAAGTATCTGTAAAACCTCATTCACACGGGTACGACTAATGTAAGAGTTAATGGTTCAAATGCGACTCATCCTAGTCTGAACAAGTAGACGATTATGCTTCCTTTGAGGACGAATATTGTTTCATCAATTGTTGAATACCCTTGATGGCAAAAAGCGCAAAACACATTTACCATACGAAGCTCGTTTCGACGTGTGGTACCCTTATATCTTGAAACCACCCCCATGAACTATTAACCCATCGTAAAAAGACCAAACGATTGTCGAATCCCAATTTTGCCCTACTTCTTTCACCCGAGGCTTTACAGTTACCCCTAATCTGCTCCTCTTTTCCTTGTGATCACGTGCGCCATATCGGAAAGACGCGAAAAATTCATTGGCATCCTATCCATCATCAGAATGCTGACGGTAACGGTGGTGACCAGTGTATCGCCGACCCTAGAGCTTATCGGCACTGCCTTGGGCAATATGCTCGTGCTGTGGCTCGAGAAGCTTGAAGCTATTCCGGGGGGGTCTGTGATCGTGCGTTACATCAAGAAGTCACATCAAAATGATCCTGGACGTACCGTCTTTGAGTTTGCCCTCTTTTTATTGTTGATTTACTACATTGTGGGTCTGCGAACTAAAGAGCTGAAGCTGGATACCATTTCTTTCTCTGAAAGAGAAATTGACGACTTGGTTGCCGAATGGAACCCCGAGCCTCTTGTCGAACCCGTTCTGAACTTAGAAAAATGGCGACTCAATGCAGTACCCGTGATTCACGGTCACAATGGCGCTCACGTACTGTTGTCACTGGGTGAAATCGGCGTCGCCAATTTGGCTACCAACGATTTCTTGAACTTGAACGAGCTGGAGCTGATCAAGGATGCCGCTCGTGAATGCATTCGCAATGTCGGTGTGGGTGCATGTGGTCCACCCAATTTTTACGGAACTCAAGACGTCCACGTGAGACTTGAAGAAGATTTGGCGCATTTCTTACAAACTGAGCAAGGGATTTTGTATGGTCAAGATTTCGTTACGGCCGGGTCGGTTATTCCGTCATTTCTCAAGCGTGGTGACCTCTGTGTGGTCGACATGGGTGTGTCGTTGGCCATTCAGAAGGCGCTCATTGTGCTGAGAGCTGATATCGAATGGTATAATCATAATGACGTAAAGGATTTGCGTCGGGTGCTCGAAGAGTTGAAGCCTGAATTGGACCGCCACAAGAAAATCAAGAGACGTTTCATTATCACCGAAGCTATTTTTGCCAATCTGGGTGACATCGCAGATTTGGCTAGTATTGTGGAGCTCAAGAAAGAATTCAAGTACCGTGTGTTCTTAGATGAATCACTTTCAATTGGTGTACTCGGTAAGCTTGGCAGAGGTTTGCCCGAACATTCGAATGTCCCCAGGAGTGATGTTGACATTACCATTGGTTCGATGGCAAATGCTTTCGCCTCTCTGGGTGGCTTTTGCGTTGGAGAAGCAGTGATGGTGCACCATCAACGTATTCAGCTGGCAGCTTATGTGTTTTCGGCATCGTTGCCGCCATACCTGGCAAAGGTTACTCTGCAAGCCATCAAGGAAATTTCTGAGAATACCTTAGGAGATGAACTGTCGCTTCTCATCAAGCTCAGACGGCATATCAACACAGTGTATACTCTGTTGCAATCGTTACCGTCGCCATTTTTTGAAGTGGTATCGAATCCCCATTGTCCTGTAATCCATCTTGCCTTGAATCCCGACTGGCGCCGTCAACTTAATTTTCCAGAACTTTACGGGAATGATGTTTTCTTAAGGACCGGCAAGCAAGCCAAGTATCTCAACTCATTCAATGAGTACTACAATCTGGAACTGTACATTTTGCAACGCGTGATTGACTTAATCCTTGGGAAAGCCAACGTTTTGGTTACCCGGTCCAAGCAAATCTTGGAGCACGAAAATTTGCCTGTGCACCCTCCTCATTTACTCATCCATGTTAACATCGGCGTCACCGACACTGAACTTGCTAAGTTGATCAGAGCAGTCCCGGAAGCTTTTGCTGAAGTTTGTGAATCTCTCAAAAGTGAAGCCGATCTCTTTGTGTTGAATGATAAAATCATCGAGTACTAATTAAATCTAAACTTAATTGCAACATTAATTTCTGTGTATGTGAGGTCAGATAGACTTTAGAGCAGTTAGCCATGAACACAATAGTGAGATTCATGTAATTCCTGCTGGTGACCAGCACGCTTGGTATCTTCCGCAAAGAACCTTGTCGGAAAGTAATTTTGGGACGTTTTAGCTTAACGGTATTTGGCAAATGGAAAAGGCGTTATTACTGAGTGATTGGAGATAGCGTCAGTTTCAACGAATCGAAGTGTATTTCCAAGGCTTCAGTCATGCCACAATTCCCAAATAGTCATAGCTAGTGTTAAAGTCTGACCTTGATTTCTTTTGTGCCACATTTGCAAGTTATTCGCTCAGCCGTCTACGCCGAATATGCGATCTCAGATGATCTACGAATGTCAAACACTCTATGCACAAAACCTAACAACTTTCATGTGCATAGATTCCATTTCCTTATTATAGAGGAAGCCCGTCGATTGGATTCTACTTGGAATCAAGCTTTCGAATTACCTCCAACGTGCGCGAATACTACTTTCAACAAATCCCAAAATGATGCATGCAGGTGATGAAAGCCGAAGAGAGAGTGGAGGATAGCAGCAATAAGAATTAGTCTTTGGAGTTGGTATGTGCTAGCGTGAATAAGGGACCACATACAGACATGATTTCGGCAATGGCTCTATATGAAACTCGAAAGAGATGAAGTGATTTTATTAGACGTATTCATGACATGTAGCCTCTCGGTTAACTGCTACCACCGCCACCGATGAAGGTCATGGTTGGTAAACCTAAAAAAATAAGTCACAGCATATGAAGTGATAGAGTAGCCTTGGAAACGTTCGAGTATGATATACCGCCCAACCTCCCTAAGTGTCCAAACGGAGGTGAACACGCACTCATGGCCATCACACTCATCAATTGATAGAAAGCCTAAGACCTTGATTGTGCAGGAGTATGAAAGGTCGCCCTATACTACTCACGAGAACTCAACTTGCTATAAGATCGAGTTTGAGGTGATTTCCTCAATTGTTGGAGTTTTTGTCGAAGCTGGTTCACAGCGGGTAGTTGTCAAATATAATGGTAATCGGGGACGGTACCAGCTGGACGCTCTGTTTCCATCTCCAATATCACACATAGAGTGGACATTGAAAGGATCACAATGCATCGTTACCGCTCATAAGCGACTCATAGATTCATACAACTTGTCCGTTGAGACTCTATGAAAGATATCATTATTTAGACACATATGTTACAGATCTAATAAATGTTAGAATACACAAAATGTATCAAATTGACGAGTACGTATTCCGAAATCACTTCAATTAGGATACGGGCGGATCACGCGCGTCAGCTTCACCGGAAATGATACGGGTCAAATCTACATTCTGGGATCGAGGGTTACCCATTGCAAGTGCTAGGCATATTAAATATCATCGTTGTATCTGATCGGTAAAGCCTAGTAAAGCATCCTTTCAAGAACAAGTTTTACGAAATGTGCCAATGACTCGAGAGCGCCTTTATTAAGAATTCGCGGGGAGGGTATCAGTGGTCATGTGGAAATATTCATAATCAAAATGACAGCCACACAATTCCATCATCAGGAACTATGCTCAATCGCTTAGACGGCTTCTGTTCCACGGGCAATCTCAAGTCATCGCCGTCATTGAAGACGATACAGTTGGATCTTTGAATGAACGGGTTGGTAACGTTGATAGGCGTTGTCAAATTTCGATTTTTAACTTCCGTCTGTAATCGACGATACACTCCCACGCATCGATGGCAAACTTTGGAGGCGGACGAAACTCCTGTTACATTATAAACAAATCGCGCCTGGCGATCAATGGTAACGTTGGAGCCAGTAGCAATACACCGACTGCAGTAGAGCCCACCGCATACACGACAATGATGACGCAGACAACCTTGTCCTATTAAGGGTATGGTGGCAAATTGGTGGTAACACTTCATGCAATTTGAGGTTGTACTATTTGGTATCCAGTGCCTTTTGGTTGGAGCCCCCTTGTATTCCAAATCAACAATTGCCAGATAATCTAACTCATCTAGCAGGACAGTAGGAAGGGACGGCATCAGCCTGATTGGTCGAAGCACCGCGGGAGTTCCAAGTTGAATCGGCTTCCGTTGTGGTTTTTGATATATGCAATTGTTATGAGTGTATTGCTCAAGCAATAGCAGCGCCTCATCGTCGTTATCACAAATCAGAACTCGACGTGGTGGCGTTAGGTCAACTTTAGCCGGAGTATATGTCTGATTCGTTTGCGACGAAGATGTATGCGACAGTGTCTTCTGTACTGAAGGTGTCACCAAACTATCGCCACCAGACGATGAGAATGACCATTGGGAGTCTGAATTATTAGTTCCTTCCAGGACAATCACATCAGCTTTAACAAACCGGGGGCAGCGGATCAGTTCGTTATAATCAAACTGAGGTATATGGGTGTCCAGCGGCATTGTCAGGGGGGCAGTATTAGATCCGGCCGCAGTCACATCTTCATCGAGCCCCAACTCTGTAGCGAGCACCAGTTTCGGCGCAAGCCACTCCAGGATGTTGGAATGCAATGACTTCGAAGGATAAGCGTATGTCTTTTCAAACAACAGCTCCGGCATTCTTCGTGGATGCTCCAAAGAGTCTGACTCCGGCACTTTTGGTGATAGATGAGAAAGTGGGGTGGGGGGAGGATTCAGGGGGTACATATAGGGCTGCTTCTGTGTATCGTGAGCAACTGCAAAGGCGGCATAAGGCTTTGACATTATTTTGCCGAAGCATAGAATCAGGGAGAGTGCGACCAGAAGCTGGGATATGCATGAGCTAGAAGATATCACCAGACCTGTGTCTTCATTGTTTAATCTATCTGGTTCAGGGTGTGTAGATTTGGCATTTTATTTGTATGAGTGCTATCCAGAACGTATCCAAATGAACCAAGAACGGGAGATGACTAAAATTCACTCTCTTACATTAAGGATATGTCGAGTCGTGCGCGAGCGAAACTCAATGCACGAAGCAAAAGGTCCAATAAAAAATATCAAATTAGCGGTTGAGGAGTGAAACCTAAACCTTCATGTTAAATTATTGAGAGCAGTAAGACTTACCTCTCCCAACAGTTCGAATAGATGCAACTATGAAGGCATTCGCAAAGAAGAAGTTCGTCCTCACACATCCCACCATCCGTGAACCACGAATTCCGTCAGTTTCTTGGAAAAAAGCGATAAAAGTACCCCAACAATAACTGTACATTTACACTTACATACAACAATAGGAACCAAAGCATTCACCCGTATCTTCATTAAGTCCGTACATTCAGTTTATCATATAAACCACACAAAGACGAGATTTGATATTTCAAATGTCAGTCGTCGTATGACGAAAACAGTATTCCAAGAGAACTCTAGATAGTAGGGAATTTCGAGAAATTCATTGAAATGGTTGACAATAAGGATACGTCACATCCACGGAACCCCATGTCTATCTTAACACGTTTTATGCACAGAAAGCGAATTTTCCCGCACCTGTCACACTTTGAAAAGCCGCATGCCCTTTCGTCATGAACCCCGGTACCTCGTCCTGCCCTAGCCACGGGGTTTTCATCGAAGATTCTGGGTATAGTTAATATTAATGAAAAAAATCTCACTTCTTCGATAGGGTAGCACACCACCGTGAAAGAACAATGTGTCGGACGCGAAAGAGTACCACGTCTTGCTCACAGTTGATATCGAAGCACAAGGTATAGAGCGTACAACATTCCGGGGAACCACGCAAGTAGACACAAAAAAATATCAATCCAAAACCGCAGGCCGATGCTGCGTTGATGGTAAAATACCGCCGCTGGAGGCAAAAAGACGGCTAACGTCAAACCAACTAGCGTTCTTGAGTACATATATCCGACTTGACAAGTGAACTCGTCGCACAGATTAGACGCGCGCAAAGCTAAGCAGAAAGAAACGACACATTTGAGGAGATGTGAATGTCATTCTTCGGCCTCATTTGTTTCTCTTACAGAACCAGCATGGTAAGCCAAAAGTCACTTGGGTTTTTTTTACATGCCGAATTTGCAACCCTTCAATTAACGATGATCATTGAATCGTGCCTCGTCTCAGACTAGCAAGACAATAGTTCGCTTTTTACTGCAAACCAATTGCGTGAACGTTGAATGTCAACACTGCACATGTTCTGTACCCTTTCCTAGACGTATCGCAATCAAGCATTTCAAAGTTATTGCAACTTTCTCTCTGAACGATAACCCCAATATGTATTCAAGTTAAGAAAAGCCAAGTGCACTATCACGATAATCTACTTTGAAAGTCCTATGGCATCATTACACAAGATTGCGTTTTAAAACAGCAGCTATATCCGATTTTACCCATTTTTGCGATTTACGCCTACGGGCCCGTTCCAACATGCGAGAAAAACGTTGATGGTGCCAACGTTGATGCCGAAATGCTGCTATACTTATTCGCCGTGGTACCTTAATTAGCACGGGATGCTTAAAAAACCTGTGTAAACACGTCCGAAGAAATACGATTTACCTTGTCATCGGGCATTGGTGTGACGCATACGCATTGTTACATTGGGATAGTCCGTACGGTGAGCAAAGATCTTGCTCATCATTACCCCCTACAACCACGGATCATTAGCCATAACACTAATTGCATTCATCATCAAATCCCACGGTTCAAGTGTCAACGCGGTCTTCAATCGCAAAACCCGTAAATATTAATGATGAAGGATAGTGACAAGTTGAATGATTCGTTCAGGTTCGAGCGACTAGGAGTGCAGACCTCACATTGCAGTATGGAAGCAACGTGTAACCTTGAGCCAGATATGCCTGGTTATGTTTGATTGTATTTGAGTCAAGGAAAGTCTCATTTCCTCTACTGATTTGTATAATTGCCGTGTTATGCCGAACTGCCATCCTCATGCGGGGCAATACCACGAGCAACGCATTACGAGCACTGCCGCTGTCATTTTGTACTATTGACGAGTTTCCACGGATACGTGGCGAGTAAAACAACACGGGCCCTAATCAAACAGATGACTTCGAGAAAAATCAAACTGAAGTTTTATGTGTTTAGTAAGATTTCGGTGAAGTATGTGGCCAATTAAGCAAATTTGTGCGCTCTGACTACTCTCTAGAATGGCATTTTTTGTCGGGATTCCCACGCGAAATCCGGGGATAAATTTGAGTGAGCGGGGCAATGATTAGACACTAGTTGATCGTAATGGTACGAGGTGGTGCAACACCCGCCAAATTTGTAGAAACCCGGAGAAGTCGACATCGAGTCTGCCGACCAAAACCCATATTCTGCGTCCCTCCTCCTCGGTTATTCACGGTGATCGGGATCAGTATGATGAACAAACACTTCGAAAACTTACATCTAGAAACGAATCATAGGGTTTTCGTTTTTTTTTCTTTTTTTTTTTTTTTTCAGAATACAATCTCTTCCCCGAAACGATCTCCAAACCCAGTGGCCTGATTTCAATCACCGTCGGGGTTGTGGAAGGGGGGCAGTGGTTCCCTGGGTATTCTCACAACCCCACTGTTGCTTATATACAGGTCAACTTACCCCCTGTTTGCCCACCGAATGACGATCAGGTAGACACCATGAGTCAAGCCTCTCTTCGGATCGCGACCATTGTAATCGGCTCTATTGACTTACTGTAGTTGATGAATTTCAAGTCCGGATTGTGGGTCATTTCTCGTTAATTCGAGGTCACCCACGATCGACTTGCCTCGGCTCGGATGCACCAGACAGTACCCCACACTATCACGAAACATATAAAGGTACACCGCGGTCACCAGAAAAATTTCATCAAACACAGCCATGACGAAGAATCGTGTTACCAACCTTGTGTCCCTGTGCCCGGAGCCTACGCCCCAGGAGCAAATGAGAGTCGAACGTTCCCACACCGACTTCGACCCGCTTGCCATGAATGAGTGGCTCGAGGGGCTGGAAGAGAAGTCTCAAGAAATCCTCACCATGTACCAACAGTTAGACCGTGACCCGATTTTGCAAGGAAATCCTGCTCACTACGATAACGGCACTCATCAAGACCGTGAATTGGTGGCGGCCCGGATCCATCAAATGGCCAAATATCTCGAAACTGACGGGCTCGTCAAGTTCTGGAGACGTCTTAACCTTGTGACAATCTGGGATCCGTCTTTGGGGATCAGAATCTCGGTGAACCTTGCACTTTTTGGGAACTGTGTCAAGGGTAATGGTACCCCGCTGCAAGTTAACTACTGGATGAATTACAAGGAAGCTGGTACTCTCAAGCAATTATATGGCTGTTTCGGTATGACTGAATTGGGACACGGCTCCAACGTCGCTGGTTGTGAAACTACTGCCACTTTCGACGAAGCCACCGATGAATTTATCATCAACACCCCCAACATCTCAGCCACCAAATGGTGGATTGGTGGTGCAGCTCATTCGGCTACCCACACCGTGTGCTACGCCAGACTCATTGTCAAGGGGAAGGATTACGGTGTCAAGACGTTTGTGGTGCCCTTGAGAGACTCCAACCACGAGCTCTTGCCCGGTATTGCTATCGGCGATATTGGGGCCAAGATGGGGAGACTGGGGGTCGACAACGGTTGGATTCAATTCTCTGATTTCAGAATTCCTCGTTTCAACATGTTGCAAAAGTGGTGCAGAGTCGACCGCGACGGTACCGTGACTTTGCCTCCTTTGGAACAATTGTCGTACATCTCCCTTTTGGGTGGTCGTGTGGGTATGGCTACTGATTCTTACCGTATCTTGGCTCGTTTCACCACCGTGGCTTTAAGATATGCCATTGGAAGACGCCAGTTCAAGAAGAATCCCAAGGACTCGCAAGAGACTGCACTTATCGACTACCCCTTGCACCAGCGCCGTACCATCCCTTGGTTGGCTCTCACCTATGCGTCCGCTGTGGGCACGAACCGTTTGGAACAAACCCACGCGCGCATTCTTAAAGAATTGGACGTGGCTGTCGCCAAGGATGATAAGAAGCTCATCCATCAACTGATTTTGGACACCAAGTCGCTCTTCGTTGACTCTGGCTCGCTTAAGCTGACTTTGACCTGGTTAGCTGCCGAAGGGATCGACCAATTGAGACAAACTTGTGGTGGTCAAGGTTACTCACTGTACTCTGGGTTCGGTAAGGCCTACAACGACTGGGTCGTCCAATGTACCTGGGAAGGTGACAACAATGTTCTTGCGATGTCTGCTGGTAAGACCATTGTCAACAACGTCAAGCAAGTTTTGAAGGGTAAGCTCCTTGATGAACGCATGCTGTTGGCTTGGTTGAATGATGCGAAGGCCCTCATCGATGCGAAACCGGTACTTGCCACTAAAGCTGATGCCTTGGACCCGGCGAAGGTTTTGAAGGCTTTGCAAACTTTGATTGTCAAGATCGCCTACACCACCGGGCTCAGAGTTGAGGCCAACGGCGGCGATTGGGATAAGCTCTCATTCCCCAGAGTGAAGCTTTCTAAGCTTAGATGCCACCAATATTGTCTCGAAACCTTCGTGACCGATTTGCCTAAGGCTCAAGGTGCCATGAAGCAACACTTGTTGCGTCTTGCTCAACAATATTGTGCTTCGCTGATCTTGTTACCTTTCGCTACGGATTTTGTCATTAACAAGGTTACTGTGGATGAGGTTATTGGTGCCATTGATGGCGAAATTATCGAAGATTTGGACGCTCTCATTCGTCCTTACGTTATTGGCTTGACCGACTCTTTCCAGATGCCCGACAACTTGATCAACTCATTCATTGGTAAGTATGATGGCAACATCTACGAAAACATTCACAATGGTACCAAGGCCTTGTACTCTCCCTTCAACTCACAAGCGCCTTACAATGCGGCCTTGACGGCGTTCTTGAACCGTGCACCTCGCGACGAGCGTTTAAGATTCGAGCGCGGTGACTACGCCAAAGAGCAATTATCTAAGTAATGAGTTGATCTCAGATATGTAGTATGATGATAACATGAAATTTCTGCAATCAAATGGCGATAATTGTAAATGTTTGGATAATGTGACCGCAATATCCAAGGCCACATATAACATCGCAATATCGCCAACGTGAGATTTTCAAAACGCAATTAGCCAAGCATGTACAATTCTTATAAAGCCTACAAAACCGGCGCTTCATTCTTGTCCTTTGCCTCACTGACACGGTTAAGTGTGAGACGCATCATATCAGCGGCGTTCTTTTCCAATGGATCCGCTTCGTTGTCGAGTTCATCAAGCTTGTCTGCCACCACCTGGATATAATGATTTAACAGTTTTGCAAGCACATCCAGTTGAAGAAGATTCACGCCATTCAAAGCCACCAACAAATTAAGATAGGTGGCAAGTACCCCATATGTGGTGGGAACGATTCGGACGACTCGACCGTTGCCTATTTGCTCAACTGAGAACGTTTGCTCGATCTGCTCGGCAATTATCTCAAATAAGATGAGACCACGATCATCATTGAGCTTCAAATACTTACGCAGAGGAGTTTTGGGACCATTTCCTTCTGCGGCAGGACGATCTTGTGTAAGTAACTCCTTGAGAATTCCTGTCAACAGCATTTTTACGTTCTCAAAGGGGCAATCTTTTAAGGAGTCAGTGATGAAATTCCATGCTATGAGTTCGTCGGTTAACGCAAGAATTTTTGTCAATAAAGTGGTAGCACCGTATCTAAAATTAGGACGGGTGTCATTGTTAGAAATGATGTGCAACAATACTTGGAAAACCACCACCAATACGGAGTCATCAACAAGTGAAATTCCAGCATTGCTCGAATGAAGAGAATACCAAATCCAGTAAACACAAGCATCCTCGAAACCAACAAGTCGGTAGGCGGGATTGACCATCCCGGGGATCACTCCCACAAATAATAAGGCCACAGCATCCTTGAAGGTAAAAACATAATCAAATTTGTGGGGATAAGCCACCTCATATGTCCACAAAATCGCACAACCTCGTTCTGAAACGACGACCCTCTTGGCATCCAGGGCTACGAGTACCAGCGCATATTCTTGATACTCTTTGATCACGTTTTCGAAAAGCAAACCGATTCCATCATCCTCATCAATTCGAGCAGGTATCAAATCATGAGCTCGTTTTACCATCGCTTCGAACGTATGCTGGGGACTGATGTCAAACAGCTGGCATAACTCGTTAAGACGAGTAAGTACAGGAGCGCTAAGCTCGTAGTCAAGATATCTGGTAAGTTTGTGACGCTGTTCGCGTTGTAAATATGAAATGTAATCGGTAGTGAAACCAAAAACCACCTCTTTCAATGCAACTTGAACAGCCAGGGTCACAAATGATTGAAGAATTTTTCGCTGAAGATAATCTTCGTCGTCGCGAGAGGGGGCGGCATCAACTAGAGGGGTTCCAACATGTGACTTAGTGAGACTTCCAAGATCTATAGCTGGGAATGATTTGTCATTCTCCGCTAATTTTGAATTAGCTTCAATTTGAGATTCCACAGCATCAGAAATGATCTCTTCAGCAATCTCAATCTTGTCCAGTTTTAAATGAGAATCGTTTTCAGACTGATCACCTTGGTCAAGAGAATATTCGGATGCGGTCTCGTTGGCCTCGGAGTCCGGGGGAAGCATACCTTCGTATCCTCGGACAAATTGATAGCACCGCCGTAATACGAACTGACAATGTGTGTTATTGTCCATTGGATTTTTGCTTAGCATGTTAACAAACAGTGAAGCTGACATTGCTAGAAACCGCAGAGGGTAGGCAGTTTTGATACGACGGGTGCACGCGTCCATCAATTCAATCACACAGTATAATTTGATATCGAAAATTGCGGCCCTTCTGTAAATCTCATCGGGGCCCGGCTTGACTTCAATACTGGAGCAATCGAGCTGCGTAAGTAATTCACACAGCTTCAAAAATAACTCTTTGGCATTACCATTAACAGCCAATTCTTGGAATAATTTGAGTACCAATGGCACGCATGGGGCTTCTCGAAGAGGTTTCGATGTATAATCGTAATCTGAATCGATGTATGGCAATAAAACGGACGGTATATCCCAACCGATTTCAAATACAAGCTTCGGATGGGCCTTCAATACGTCGAGCAACGTGGTAAGCACCTGTTCCCGCGCCTCCACTGATGCGAATGAGTTTGGTTCCGCAAGACACACGTCGACGAATGTTGAGTACAGAAGATAGTCTCCAGACTCTAAGGCTTCAACGGCACCCTTTCGAAGAAGCTCCTCTGCGGACAGTGCCAGCATAGACATCGAATATTTGAGATTGGATTATTTGGGGTTGTGGGACTATTGACTTGCGCGCGTCGCTTGGGGTTGACGTCCGTCCGGGGAATCTCTAATGGAGAAGGTGACCGTGCGGCTTCACCTGGTGGGATCTACACCAGCGATCAATCCCAAAGTATTCAAACTATCGCGAGAGCTGAAAGTGGCAATGGTCCTGCAGTTCATTGTGAAACGTCTTCATCTAAATGCGGCCCCGTTTCTATATGTTCACAACCTGTTTCAAATAACTATAGAGGAACTCGTGGGGGAGTTGTTCGATGTATACAAAACGGGAGATGAGTTAGTAATAAGTTACTGCCTGTCAGCGGCTTTTGGTTAGTATGCTCTTGCTCCATGATAACAGTCGTGATCGCGTTACACACCCGATGTTGCATCGAGAAAGTAATCTCGACTTTCGATCGAAATGACGACGCAACACCAAAATCTGATCTTTTGGAATATTCGTGGAGATTCTTAATAGCGGACTCATTTTAATAAAATCTTAAGCGGGTCATTGCGATTCGAATTAGACGTAAAACCAGTAGGGTAAATTATACCCGACGTGAAAAACATATTCGAGATCAGTTTTGTGAAGGTATGATATCAGTAAGTAACTCTTGATATACCGCTGTTCAAATCCCTATCTTAGAAGATCTAGAGTGACATTCACGTGCTTTACCATTTCGATCATGACATTTGTTAGTGCGCTTTGATCTACCGCGACGATGCTGGGGACCCGGAAGGTGCAGAAACGGAAGTCCAAGCTTCGAGCAGGGGAGATCAGGAGAAGGAAGAGGGACTTTCTTGCTCGTATAGACTACTGGAACTTGGTCACGGTGGCTATTTTACCGTTGGCCACCATAGTCTACTTGGTGTACAATGGTTTGCCCCTTATTCCCCACAACCAGACCACCACATGGTGCGGACTCGTCTATTTCAATTTAACCATGTTGAGCTTTACTTGTGGCTACCACAAGTATTTTGCCCATAAGCTGTTCTCGACTTCGTCGGCATTGGCCACATTCATGGTGATGGTGGGGTCGCTGATCGGTGTCGGGAGCGTGAGGTGGTGGGCAGCAATGCACCGTGCCCATCATCACCACGTGGACGATGTGGAAAAAGACCCTTATAGTGTCAAACGTGGGCTTCTTTGGGCTCATTGGGGATGGCTCTTACGCAAACCCAAAAGAGGGTTCCTCCAAGAGTACATTGAGCACGAATTCCCTTTAGTGGCTAATGAAAGTGACGACGGAGACGTGGCAATGATAGAGCTTGCCAACAATGCTAGCAGAAGGTACTTGTTATGGTTCGCCGTCTTTGGCTTAATTGTGCCAACGATGATGACGATGTTCTTCAGTGGCGACCTGTGGATGAATTCTCTTATTTATGTGGGACTTCTACGGATGGTAGTATGTCAACAAGCAATACTACTTACCGAAAGTGTGTGCCACAGCAAGAGTCTCCACTTCCTGATCCCCAGTCAGCCTTTCACAGATAAGAACCTGAGCGTAAATGCTAATAATCCTCTTATGAGTTTGTTGACTTACGGTCAAGCTCATCAGAATTTTCACCATGAATTCCCCCATGATTATCGCTCGACCCTGAGCACTTTGGCGTACGACCCTACTAAGTGGTGTCTTTTTATGCTTCTGAAGTTTGGCCTTGTGTGGGATTTGTGTCGAACTCCTGAGAACTTAATTATGCAGCTTCGTATACAGCAGCAACAGAAAATCATCAACCGCATGAAACTGCAATTGAATTGGGGCACTCCCATCTCGAAGTTACCTATTGTCACTCCACAAGACTTCAAGAGAATTTGCGACGAACTGGTCGACAAGGAAAGAATTTATATTGTCATCCAAAATATCATTCACGACATTACGCCGTTCATGGATCAGCATCCAGGAGGGGTACCTTTGTTGAAGGCACTGCATGGGAAGGACGCTACCAAAGCATTTTATGGTGGGGTTTATGGACACCTGGCGGCAGCTACCAACCTTTTGGCAACAATGAGAATCGGTGTTTTGTCAACAGGAAATGAAGAAGATGTATGGCGCCGGGTAGCCGAGGAGACCGTGGTAGAAGAGAGGGCTCTGCGTGCTTATCAACTGGCGGAGGCAGCGTAGATACACCGCGTTAGCATTTCATTTGATACCATCAGAGTATTTCGCAAATTTGACGACTAGCTAACTAACTAATGAACATAATCTATATCTAGTGTTTGACTATACAGTTCAATAAATTTCAATATCAATTCTCGTGGTTAACAAACGCCATCAAAATAGTAAGAAGACATCATCAAATTGGGAAAGCATTGAGTTTTTGTATGAAACACAAGCGACTTTTTTGATGTATTTTGTAACGAGATTGTGATAGTAAGTCTAAAGTGATCTGGTATTGATTTACAGAGTTTCGTGTTTGTGATGATTTGCACGGGGTGTAAGCAGTTTAAACTAGGCTATTTCAGATGCAGCTGCGTCAGATGTATTTTGGTCAAAACTTTAAACGTCCACATGGAGCTCGTCTACTCTAGTGGGCTTATAATCTTTACAAGATTTCCCTTCAGAATAGGTTTAATGTCAAAAGGTACGAGGTGTCTTTCACGTCCTTCACATCGTTATCACTATGCGATTCATTTCAGACGCATTTCCTGTCACAGCCTGAGACCATCTTTTTGGTTAACAGCCCTGCAGTGCGACTTGTGCCGGGTCAGAAAAATTTCCCCAACCCCCACCGACGGCTACCGAGCCTTAACCTACGATGTACAAGGCAAGGGATACAACGACGAAGGGGAAGTACACGCTCAACGACTTCCAAATTTTGCGGACGTTGGGCACAGGGCTGTTTGGACGTGTCCATCTAGCGCGTCTGGTGCACAACGGGAGGTTCTATGCGATGAAGACTCTTAAAAAGGAACGTGTGGTGAGTATGAAGCAAGTGGAGCACACTAATGACGAACGACGGATGCTCAAGTTGGCTCAACACCCATTCATTATCCGGATGTGGGGAACTTTTCAAGATTGTCACAACTTGTTCATGATTATGGACTACATAGAAGGTGGTGAGCTTTTTCTGCTTTTACGCAAACTGCAGCGGTTTCCCACCCCAGTGGCCAAGTTCTACGCTGCCGAGGTGTTTTTGGCTATTGAATACTTGCACAACCTCAACATTATTTATCGGGACCTAAAACCGGAGAATATTTTACTCGACAAAAACGGTCATATCAAATTAACCGATTTTGGATTTGCCAAAGAAGTCACGGACGTTACTTATACATTGTGTGGTACCCCCGATTACATCGCCCCGGAAGTGGTGGCTACAAAACCATACAATAAGCTGGTTGATTGGTGGAGTTTTGGCATTCTTATATTCGAGATGTTAACGGGATACACGCCTTTCTACGATCCCACACCAATGAAAACTTATGAGAACATTTTGAATGGAACCATCACGTACCCCGATTACTTGCCACCAGACATTTTAGATTTATTACAGAAATTGATTGTCAAAGATTTGAGTCAGCGACTTGGGAACTTGCAAGGAGGACTGGATGACGTTAAAAATCACCCCTGGTTTAAGGAAGTAATTTGGGAGCGGCTTCTTTCTCGAGACATTGAAACTCCCTATGAACCTCCGATTACGCTGGGGGTAGGCGACACATCACAATTTGATCGGTACCCTGAAGACAAAGACTTGGATTACGGCATCAGCGGCGTCGACGACCCTTACGGAAACCTTTTTAATGACTTTTAGATATTGATAGCATCGACTAAGGGTCCGTGACCCCGACTACTAATATGACGTGTATTATATGTAATCATCGACTACGCTGGATGAGAAATGCTGGATACCCGAGACAGTGATGCCGGGCATCTGATACAACAGCCCGGTGGCACGTTTGCCACGTCCTCCTCTTTTACAATCCCGACATCGCTCTGACATTGGTAAAACTCAACCACTTGGGCTGGCGGGAGAGAAAACTGAGCCATATCAACCCGTTCAAAGCGACAACGCTTAAGACGAAGTAGTCCAAGACTACGGTGAAGCGTTGCAGGTATTCCTTCTTCACTAACAACGTGATCATTCACAATCAATGTTTCGAGGCTCTCTGGAAGCTCCTCAGGACTCTTCCAAGGTGGATGATATATATCCAACTTCTGAAGTCGCTGAAGCTGGCAAAGCGAAGCCCCACCAAATTGTGAGTGGCCAAAACGATTTCGTACATGGAAGCGAAGGTTGGTGAGGGTCAAAGGAAGGTCAAGCTCGTCGGTAGCAATATAACCGTACTCAAGACTGAGAGCAGTAGTTCCCACCAAAGTAGGAAGTCCATCTAAACCGGCACCTCGCAACACGACTGTCGATGCTTCGATGACACAATCCCATGAAAGTCCATCTCCTGCAAACTTTCTTCCACTAAATGCAAGCCCCAGAATCGCGCCATCCAAAGTAGACAGGGGAGATTTGTTGCCATCACCCATTAAATCTAATGTCCGGCACTTGTTGAGCATTAACTCGCTGATCTCAAGTCTTCCTGGTAATACAAGCATAAAACCCTCTAACTCTAGGTGGTCAACCGACTCAGCAACTCTTCTCAAATCGAACACCATATCTGGAGTCGGTGCCTCTAATCGAAGTCGACGGATGCCCCAATTACTGGGACCAAAAAGTAACGGTACCGATTTACGCCCTCTGCCCATGAATATTTTGATTGAGTCCCAAGTCACTCCCGATTGTCGTGCCATCACTTGAGAGGGTTCGACGTCCACGGTCATGTGGGGGTATTGACGGCCAATAGCATGAAGCACCGCTGTGTGGCCCTTGAGTCCTCCCACAGCAGTAGCAAGTGATCGCGCCAGACTCACATCAAGATAAGGGGCCACAAGCACTAGCACACGAGGATGAAGCCTTCGACCTCGCGGCTTAGCGTTGAAAGAGGGGCGCACATGCCGCTTTGGCGGCAGTGTAATTCTGGTAGTGGTATTGCCCACATTGCTACCGATACGAGCTCCAACGCTCACATTTGTTGAAGGTTTGGTGGTGACATCCTCCACCATGGCTGTCAGCTGAGGTTTGAAACGACGAAGCGACCACCGACGTCGGGGACGTGGGTCTGTAGGCTCCAGTGGCCGGGGTCCGAACTGGAGCATTAACGCCATATTGCTCCTGGATTCGTCAGACAGAATACCTCATTAGCGATTTTTTGCTTATTATATACATTGTCTTGAGCCCCGGTCACGGCACGCCGAACCCAACATCACCTCTCACCACACCAGGATCCAGCCGTTTTGTCGGTTGCGCGCCCTGTCAACGGACACTTATCTGTCCCCACGTGTACAGCCTGTGATTTTTGAAAGGCGTAACAACTCCGAGTCTACATCCGCCAATATCTTCGAAGTATGGATGTGCTACTGAGACCATTTTCTCAAACTTTCGGAGGCGTACGGTGCGACAAATCGTAGGTCACGTACAGCATGCTTAGAGTATCAAATCTGTGAGGGGACACCCAAAGGGGTGAATTCTGGAGAGGGGAAATTGCAATCTCAATCTTGAGCCTTGCTCACAATTACCGAAAATCATCAACACCACAAAATGACACTAAACCTCCAACATCTGAAGGTGCCAGGATAAAGCCACAATCATATCCCAAAGCCTCCGAGCTGGTCAGATAGCTTCAAGCATAAGTCATGTCTCATTATCGATCAGTGTCGAGTGACGCATGCCAGAGAAGTCTAAGGATAGAGCCCAAAAAACGCCCGACATCTTTGTTTCAATATTCCCACTGAAACTTTGAAATCTGGAGGATTCCACATAGTTTGACTGCGGCTATCAGTTTAAACAGACATTACATTATCGGTGGAGTATCAGTTTAGTTCTGCTGTATTCATTGGGGTGCGAGCGCAAAAGATTCGCACATGGCCACACTAAAGGAGCGCTTACGGGACACCTTGGCGACATTCGATGGAGCCTGCAAGTTATTGGATGGACAGGGCCTGGGGAAGGAATATTTGCTTTCTCTGTATTTGGTACAGGGGTCCATGAAAAGCTACAAGCTGTGGGAGGTAGATTTGCAGGATGGTTACAAGCAGCAAATGAAAATTCTCAACAACGAGTTGTACGACAGTGCCAAAGACACAATAAAGCTCCAGAAAGAAACGACTAACTACGTTGTTCTTTGTGACGAAATCAAATTACCTGAATTCAATTTCACGCGGAAATCGTTGGAAGCTGTCGATAAGAATGACATCGACGAAGAACTCCATCAGAGAGTACACTTACTTCTCGAGGAGAACAAGAATGCAGATACATTCAAGCTGGCCCAGATAATCGGCGGCGAAGAAAGATCGTCCGCCTTGCAAGTGGCTCCTGAAGCTCTGTATCGTGCGTTGTTTATTCACGAATTCCAGTATAGAGCACGCCTACGACTAAAGATGCAACTCCTCGAAAAGATCAGGGACATGGTTTCAGCCGATCAAGCTTTGTGGAATGAAAGAAATAGAGAAGTTTCATTATTCTTAAACGATCGATTAGTCAAGATGATGGATGCAGTGAAGCAGATCACTCTTGAACTTGAGGACGGTAGTGATGTTGATGTTGAGATGACATAGACTTCGTCTCTCTAGTTGTTACACTTATCGAATATGGTTCGCGTGTGGAATAACGTCTAGCACGACAGCCACACGTGGGCCTGTTGACGATGTATTTTCTTAGCTTAATGTCGAATTTTCTATAAAACACACTATACCCAGTCATTCCAGATGACAATATCAAACCATCATCAGCCAAAACAGCTCAAGGTGGCGGGGGGTTTCCAGCTTGTAACGTGGGGGAACAATTGTCATACTCTCAGTAGTACCAGGGGTTCGAGGGGTGGTAGAATCCAGTACAGGGGCCTGCCCTCTGGAGATTCGCGTAGGGTTTGTCATAGGCGTCAGAACTTAAAAGTTGCACAATTGGGAGTTGGCGATTATCAAATTATATATGAAGAAAAGCGGGGAGTGTCAAGTCCGACCCCGTGTCCAGGCCCTGGAAAAAAAGAAAGTTCCCGAGGTGCTCCGGGAGGTTTGGTCATGTGCGCAACTGCTTGCTAAGGCCATTGACAAGAATTACGTACTACTCCATAACGACAAAAGGCTCGCAAGATTATGAACGAGCTGAAGTTACTTTGGAGACCCCACCTCTCGGGGTGAATAGTGTATTGGGTAACATCTTTTCCATGGAATAGCATGCGGGATTGCATGGAAGGGTTACTTGGCTTGTTATAGAGGTAGATTTCTTGTAACTATTCGAATTTGTTGAGCCGTACAAGCAATCGCCATGTGCTCGCATTAGGTGTTTCTCGTGCAACTCAATCGTGCGCAGCCCAAAAATCTGGGGTACCATTTAATAGCATATTGTGTGGGAACCAAGTTCGTCATGAAAGTACTTTTCCTACCAGGATTTCTTCAAAATGGCCACAGGTTGAGACAACGGTCGAAAGCACTTGAGTCAATGTTAAATACCCATGGACTTTCTGTGGAGTATGTGGATCCACCGATGAAGTTATTAAAGAAAGAGCAAGCTGGCTACAAGCTAGGTTCTACCGAGGAAGAAGCTGAGGCCAAGTGGCAACTGGTTATAAAGCGTGACTTTAATCGCTGTTGGTGGGATTACCAGGGTAAGGGGGATTATAAGGGTTTCGATGAATCTTTCAAGTGGATTGTGGAATACATAAATAAAAATGGCCCTTACTTTGGTATTGTGGGTTTCAGTCAAGGGAGTGCAATGGCTGCTATTTTGACTAACACCATAACACGTTATTCTATGCAACCTCAATTCAAGTTCACTATCTGTATACTGGGGTTTGCATTCACAGAGCCGCTCAATACAGACCCAGCGACTCGTACAAATATCTTTGACCTCCACACAGTCGAAGAATACCTGCAACATGTCAAAATTCGTGAGTCGTACAAAAGCTATTACACTCGTCCAAGCAATTTTTCAACCAAAGTTATCGTCGTTTTCGGTGAGCATGACCCAGTATGCCCTCCAGCTCGAGTGCTGTATTTAGCTCGCACATTTCCGAAAGCAATCGAGATTGGATTTGACGGCGGCCATGATGTTCCTAGCGATGCTGACACGATAAACAAAATAGAAGCGGAGATACCTTCAATATCTTCTCATAAACTTTGATCAAATTTCGACTAGCTTTTCACCTTTTGACGCGCTCCCGTATTATCGCAAACCCTGTATCGTCAACTTTCCAACCCGTAGCTTCCACCTTCACCCTGGATGGAAGACATAAGTCCGCAATCGGATATGTAAAATATGCCTTTGACATGGTTGAAACCATTGTCTGGAGCATCTTCTTGGTGCCGACATTCATCAATTGGTGCACTTCAGGTATCAGCTGAACGGAATCCAAAAGTTTAAACCATCTAGCCCAGTCATTTGATAGCCAACTTTGGATGACATGTAAAACATAATGATATTTTGGATATGGCGCCAAATGCTTGAAATATAAATTTAACGCTTCTGAATAATTTTGGGTAACGTGTATCAAATGGAGAATAAGATACACCGTATGCTCCTGTTGAAAACGGTTACAAGCAAGCATATACCCTATTGCAGGAACGTACGTTTGGTGATGACCTGTGCGTACTCCAATTTTAATTGACAATCCAAACACTTGTTCAACGAGATCAGTATTGCGTGTGGCAACAATTGCTTCTCTGAGTTTTCGTAAATTCAAAAGGTAGGTATCAAAATTGGTTTCAGGCTCGACCAGCCTTTGCTGCTCGATGCCAAGCTCAAAAGCAACGTCATCGAATTTATGAGGGAGCTGGGAGCATAGTTGTTGCCAATATCGAGTTTGGTTAGCTCTATCTCGAAGAAATGAATCTCCACGACTGACAAATCCTGGCAGCAAATGAGCGGTGTTATTTGACGAAGAGCTCAGTTCGAATCGGGCCCTTCTCTTGGCCAATTGATCATCGAATGAGTTCATTAGTGAGAAATTTCGACATTAGTCACGTGAACATGTACAGAGACACCCCAACTGATACTAAATTCTTCAAACAATTCTTGGATATGTGATCCAAACTTGATGCTATGTTTTGTGGAGTATAGCGCCATCGCTTCGCTAGATGGCGTTAGCTTCTGGACTCAAATTCTTGTACTCCCATCGCTGTGCGAATTTCCTGATCATAAGCTCTGTTCCAAGAGCTGGCTGGGGAACTTCACGATGCCACGCTTCACAAAAACTTTGGATGGAATTCTACTGTCAAGAGATATATTAAAGGAGTGTTTTCTGCCTATGGCCATACCACACCGCACATCATCTGTCGTGGATGGCATCGCGCTCAATCGAGTACCACAATTGCCACCCATAACAGAGCTTCCACCAGCATGGCTCAGTGAAAAATATGAAAAGCTAGATGAATTTTGCCAGCCGCACGTTACGTTAAGCGATACGGAAAAGCAAGTGATCTTGGAAGTTGGAGTGCAACATTATCTCGCAGTGTCTAAAAAAAATACTGGTGGCATGCCTACAGTTCATATATCATCAGATATGCTTCGGCGATTAGGACACGATGTCACTCGGATGAGAGTGTTGCAACAACTGATGTTTGAGGATTTGACATTTTTAACGTTGGGAGAAACTGATATTGCCAGAGCCGTGAATATTTTTGACGACAACAGATTGATTTGCGAATTCATGAAAAAACATCAATTGTATGAGGCGGTATATCCATTTCGCAAATTTCATCACGCTCACCGTGATCGCGTTGCTAAGCAAATCTCTCTGGTGATGGCATTCCATACAATGATGGGTGTGTTTGTTGTAAAAGATTTACTAGATCAGAGCCATCCTGATGCTGGTTCCTTAGCTGAAAAGATAATCTCGGGGCCTAAGGGATTAATACAATTAGCCTTGAAAGGTATACTGTAATCACGGCTCCAAGGGTGTCGTGCTGGCACTCACGCCCTACACTTTATATAGCCTGCCGTAATGACAAATTTAGACCTCTCTTCTTAATTCTGTCATCAACTAACCCTCGTGTTTGGTTCTAAACAAACTCAAGCGGTTTTGTCAAGAATTGCAGCTGTGGAGAACAGATTTTCGAAGTAGAAAACTCTCAATCCCGAGATGGTGTGGAACACAATTGTTACATGAGCTTTGCAAAAGCCACTCAGAGTGTATCACATCTGTGCATAAGCTTATATCAAGAACAATTGAATGAATTTTGAATAGTACTGCATGCGCCATACCTATGGTAAAAGCAGTCTATGTAGTAAAATCGATTAGGTTACGCCCTATGAAATGAAAAATCCATAACTAGCTTACTCCGAACTGATTATGGGTGACTCGTATCCTTGTCGGGTCTCACACACGTGAGTACTCAAATCGCAAATACTCCTTTCCTTAGCTCGGGATAGAGTAGTAGACAAACGTTCATCGTATCTCAAACTGCATTGCTTTTTATCTATAAGTATGCATTAATATCTACCTGTAAAAAACGGTTGTAGAAGACTCTAAGAG